TGGCTGGAAGCTAGGGCTGGTGCGCAAATGGAACGGACCTTTACAGCCGGCTGTGGGCATGTCATGTGATTGACTGTGTGAACATGCAGGTGTTTCGCAATGCTTGGTGTGGGGAACATGTGTGAGGATTCGGCAGAAGATTCTGCAGAGGATTGTAGGATTTTGCTCTCAATGTAATGTTGTTTGGGTTTTAATTCAAAACCAACATCAGCCGCAGAGTTAACATTACAGTCATTAACACATACATTCCCCCCAACGAGTCATTTTCTCGGTTGCTTTCGACAAGGTTCTTGTGACTGAGAAGGCCAGGATGACGTCTGCTGGTCCTTTTGGAACCATTGGTTGTCAGATTTCCGGCTCCAAGGGGCGGGTGGTGCAGCCGGGTGGTTGAAATTTCCCCGCTGGCCCCGGTGTTTGTCCCATCCTCTGGAGGAGCGGTCGGAGTGAGAGGTGGACCGGGGTGGGCCAGGTCTCGCACCGTGGCTGACAGTTCAGCTGTATTTTGAGCTCTCTCGATGGCGCTCCTAAGATGGGGACCAAACAGAACGTCAGAGGTGATGGGGCCTTCCAGTATTTCTCTGTGCAGGTGTTCGGGAATGGAGGGCAGGGCCTTGAGCCACAAGGCCCGCTGGATAAGGGTTTGCCAGGCAGCAATGCGAGCAGAACCGGTGAGTATAGTAGCGCACAGATTGAAAATGGCATCAGCAGTCTTGCTAATGATGTTTTTTGACTCGTCAGGAGCGTCAAGCTCTTCCATTTTGGAGATGCCAAAGGCAAGAAGGGCGATGTTATTTTCTGCAGCGCCAGTCTAGAAGGCGCACTGGTGTATGCGATCGGTGAGCCATGCCAGGAGCTGGTCATGTTTGGAAGCGGGAACTGCTCGCTGGCCAGCGAGGTGGTTCTTGGTGCCAAACAGCGAGGCCAGGTCTGGATCCAATGGAGGAATGGTTGGACAGCCCTGGTCAGAGAAGCCCTCGACTTTTTTTATGGGTGCATATGTGGAGACTGGCGCTTTGAGCTTAGCAGGCTCGGAGAAGGTGGTGGACCAGCAGCTCATGGCAGTGGGGAAGCACGGCCAGACGGGGGTTTGACGGCGTGTTTGTGTGGCCCCAAAACTTCCCGCCAAATCATCTGCTTCAGGTGGAGCCGGTTCTGGGACGGCTAGGCCCTTGCGGACCGCAGCCACAGGGATGATGGCAGGTAGCTCCTGGAGCAGTTCTCTGACTGCTGGCAGGGAGGAGCGTGAAGGTACTGGAGCAGAGGAACCTGCTGAGGGAGGCTTATCGACCTCCGTGTTTTCCAGGAAGGAGAAAGGGCTATGGCAGCCAGACTCGTCGTATTCCTCAAGGTCGTTGCCATCTTCCAGCCAGTTGGAGCCAGACAGCTCCCGACCGACATTGAAGAACTGTAAGGCTTTGTCCAGCAAGTATGTGTCAGCCACCGGAAATTCCTCGTTGGCGGCGGAGGTGAAGTATTGGACCCGGCGGATTTTTTCAGCTACGGGCAGAGCGGCACAAAATGGGCACGAGGCCTGGGGGGTCAGGGCCAGGCCAGCTTGATGAGCCCTGAGACAAGACCTCACATTTAGCGTGAAGGTCGCCGCTAGAGATGAAGCCCGTCTGGCAGGCCGGGAAGCTCCTCACGTCGCTGGACATGCTTGGTAAGTAGGATAATTTGCTCTTGGCTAATGCTCTTTAAAGATAGCTCTTAAGCTTGGCTTGAAGAGACAGCGGAGGTGAACAGTTGAGTTGCTCCACTTATATACCCACGGGGGTGCCCACCATTGGTGGGAAGCTCTTCATGATTGGCTGATTCTGAGATCACCCTTCCAATAGCAGCTAGCTTAAGGGCTAAGACTAAACAAAATAGAACTTGAGTTCTGGCCTTACTGTCATCACAAAGGCAGGATGTACAGTACCATATATGGACAGTGCAGAGCTACGCCGCTATAGCCCGCAGTGCTCCGCTTCCAGAAAAGACGTTGTTTCAACTTTCATTTTGAAACTAGTTGTCTTTGAAAACATAATAATTATAGTTCATAATTTAAAATATCAAACTTTTATCTGACTAACGCCGGGGACACACCGGCCGCCGAAGCGCCGCGAAACGGGGGCTGTCTTCATTCGGTGCCCTTGTTATCCTATTCTATAGACCACATGGGCCGCTGAAGCGCCGCGTGCCGGCGCTCCAGCCCGCGCCGTGCAGTGATCGTTTCGGCGTCTGCTCTATTTTTTTCGTGAGCCGTGGGTGAATCGCGTCAATTCTGGCAGGAAGTCAAACCTAGACATAAGAGGCAGGCTGGTAAATTAACAAAATAAAGCATTTCAAAATACAATTCCGCAATAGTCGAATGTGTTCATAAACAGATACTGCATAAAAACCAGTGTGTGTGTGTGTGTGTGTGTGTGTGTGTGTGTGTGTGTGTGAGACCACATGAAGGGGGTGTGGTTTTGGGTGTCTTTCAACCGGAGCAGACAGGCGGCGCTTTGGCGGCCGGTGTGTCCCCGGCGTAACGGTGTTTCAGCTCTCATCAAGCATCCAAATGTTTGCTGGTTTTAACACCATTTTCAGAGATAGAAATATCTTCAGTGAAGATGTGTCAACAGGATAGCTCAACTAGTAAGACACCTGATTCACATGTGGAGGACCCGGGTTTGAATCAATCAGATTGTTACTTGGAGTTTTTTTTTCTGTGATATTCTTTTACTGAATAAGACGCCCACATTTTTATTTTTAAACGTCCAAATGAGACGCGCTGAAAAACATTAAATTCATGGCCAGAAAAGACGTCAGTTCAACTTTCATTTTGGAACAATTTTTCAACCATGACGGGACGCATCGTTTGGAATCGTAGTATGTCCAATGAAGGGCCTGCCTTTCTTGCTGCACTAAGTTCACAGTTTCTTTACAAAACTCCCCAAAACAGCTTTCTGTTGGTGCCAGGAGAACAGTCTGCACTTAGCAAGAGAAGACACCAGTTTGCTGCTAAATCAAATAGTCAGTCATAGTAAAACCCTTCTAGCCAATCAGAGGCGAGAAAGACGGGATTTTCCTTGGACATCTTAAGATTCCAAATGACACAACCGGCACAGCCGAAATACCGCATGTGTGCTCACGAGAAAACGTGTCTTTTACAAAAAAGGTTCACAAAAGCCCTTTTTAATTTATTTTTCTAAAATAAATCATTTTTATGGCCTAAAAAGAGTGGGGAGGGGGGGGGGGTTCCAAGGAAAAAGCATCAAATTCATACGTTTACCCTTAAGTGCCTAAAAGTGAAACGATAGTAATTTAAATAACATTTTAATTAAATAGTAATTGTCTAATGTTAATGAAGCAACTAAATGATGATCAGTTTAATTTCACTGTGTAATTCTATAACAACAACAGTAATTAAGACGGCAGTGAAAAACAGCGGCGGCGAGAGTCACACCGGGAGAGCCTTGGCAGCGGCACGGCTTCTTCTCTTCGCTGGACTTGTGAGATCACACGATCCCTCAAGTCTTCAAGTCACAGTTTGTTTAAAGAGCAAGTCACGTCAAATCAACATTTTTTTTGCCGATAAACTATATAAATGTGTGTCCAATTGTGCTGTAGACAAATGTAGTCAATAATTCGGCACTTCAGTGCCTCTTAGTTAAAATTTAAAGAGCAAGTCACCCCCAAATCTACTTTTTTTGCTGATAAACTAAATAAACGAGTGTCTAATCGTGCTGCAGACACGTGTCGTCAATAATTTGGCACTTCAGTGCATCTTAGTTAAAATTTAAATATTCTGCCTAAAACTGGCAGTGTTGTGCCGTTGTCAGGTAAAACCTCTGCACTGTATTTTAATTTAAATCTGCCACCGCTATTGGCTAAGAGGTATGCTATGATGTAAACTGGTACATTATGATGTCACAATGCTGTCGTGAGCCTGTGTGTGTGTGTGTGTATTTGTTAGCGGCTCCGCCCTCTCGGTCTGCCTGGCAACAGCATTTGTTGCATTTTTCAAACATGAAGCAGGAGTGGAGTTAGAGTCTGGAAGGGGGTGACTTGCTCTTTAAATATTCTGCCTAAAACTGTCAGTGATGCACCGTCGTCAGGTAAAAACTCTGCACTGCGTTTGAATTTAAATCTGCCATCGCTATTGGCTAAGAGGTACGCTATGATGTTAGATGGTAGATTATGATGTCACAATGTTGTGAGTGTGTGTATTTGTTAGCGGCTCCGCCCTCTCGGTCTGCTTGGCAACAGCATTTGTTGCATTTTTCAAACAGGAAGTGGGAGTTGAGTAAGAATCTGGTAGGGGGTGACTTGCTCTTTAAGCAATCCGCCGTTAAACCAAGAAGAAGGAAATCATGTTTGATATCTCTGTTTGATGTCATATATGGTGTTGCTCCTCTCCACTGCCAGGAATAAAGCCATGAAAAAAAAAAACACCACTGCACTTCTGGAACGATGCTGTGAGTAAATAAGTCACTGGGTCACACGTAAGCTTCATTTATATGAAATTGCATCGCTGCAGTACTTGTATTTTGAAAATTTACCGGGGATTTTACACAGAAACAGTGTGTGATTTCCTGTCTAGCCCTATGTTAACTGCAGATATTGACGTGTCCCAGAAGCAGCTCGCTGCAAAAATAGAACCCGATCCTATCTCTAGCGGCGAGGTGCGGCGTGCCGCCTCTGGGTCTGAAAATCGTCGCGTCACTGTTGGTTTGAAATAGCCCATAAACTATAATGGATTCTATGTGAAGCAGTGACGTTCCATGCCGCTGACGCTTTCAGTGTGAGACCGGAGTAATACTCCGTCTGGATGCCATGAGGCCAGAAGGGTTTGTTGCTAATTTCAACAATCGTTGAGGGGTTAATGTCATGTAGTTACATGAAAGACGTGTCTGTTCTCTGTTGAGATGTCTTTGATGTTAAAAAAACAAAACACATCTAACATTTCTGTATTTAAAGACATGCATTCATGTGACAGTTTAGTAACCTCAGAGCAGAAGGCTTTGAACACTCACATTCTGCAGGTTGAACTGGAGCTGCTGCTTGTAGGGTTCAAACTCACAGGCCAGCTCGTAGCCCTCATGGTAGGACGTGAACAAGCCCTGCAGGAAGGCTAGTAACTGAGGAGCAGAGGGGGGAACGTTAGCTCCAGGCTTAATGAGGGAAGGAACCGATGGCCACTCATCTGCTCAATTACCAAAATAGCCTCTGCATGAAAACACCCCAGCCCTTTGCCTGTTGGTGGTTTGCTGCTTATGTTTACAACAAAGACTTTTCCTCTCTGTCAGCCAGAAGAAATCTCCTCACAGGAAATGCTGCTGCAGCAACAGGAAGCAGCTTTTACTGATATCTACCCTTCCAACAGTTTATCACTGACTAAACTGAGAGGGTAATGCGAGAGTTCATGGCTCAGCTCCTAAAGGGATATTTGTTACAACTTCATGTTTATGTCATAGAACAGTCTCACTACTTTGTGTTTACTACAGTGAAATGTAAAAAAAACCCTCTGAATACAATAATGTTGCAGTTCGAACTTACCGGCTCCACAAACTCAAACTTCTTCCTCTCCTGCACTTCTTGGATCTTGAAGACATACTGCAGAGACGCGTCATAAAAAATCTTCCTGTCTTTATTCATCTGTGAGTCAGCCTGCAGGACACACACACACACACACACACACACACACATGCTACTCCACAGGTGTGGGGGAAACGTGTGGCTTGTGGGGGTTTGTAGGACTCACCTCGTGCAGCTGTGACTCCTTCTTTTTAGAGGAGACACTGAGGTACTTTTCCTGCAGGGAGTAGTACCTTTCTGTCTCCTTATCAAACTGCTTCTTTCCCTCCTGGAGAAAATATTAAAGCACATTAAGAATTCTGGCATTTTTAATTGTTTTGTAAACAAACTTTTCAGGCATTTCAGTTAATTATCACAACACCGGCAGCCACAAGAGAACTGTATAAAACAGGATTACTGCCTTGTTAAAACCGGACCGCTCCATTCAGACAAACCGTTTACATCTAGTTCTGTCACTGAACACGTGCAGCAAAGACTTAAAGGGATTTAATAAAAGGCATTAAAGTGGTCAACGTGCAGCAAACAATGTCTCAAATGCAACACTGCTGGAGCAGAGCGGGCTCAGGAAAAGCCTCACGAATCAGGCTTGGACCACACCTGTTCTCTGTTAGAAAAGCACCAAATGACCCGCACTTGTATAGCGCCTCTCAGAGTAAGGACTCCAAAGCGCTTTACACTACAGTGCATCTTTCATCCATTCACACACACATTCACACACTGATGGTGATGAGCTACGATGCAGCCACAGCTGCCCTGGGGCGCGCTGACAGAGGCGAGGCTGCCGAGCACAGGCGCCACCGGTCAAAACCAACATCAGGATGTGTCGCTGCTTTTCAGGCATTCATGAAGCTGAAACTTTCCTCTGAGAAATTAGACAAATGTTTTTACACTAAGTGTTCCTGTCTGGTTATTTTTAGTTGCTCCTGTAAAATAAGCAGGAGTGGACATGTTTGCACACAAAATAAGACTCTAAACGTTTCAGACAGAAAGCATCCAGCTGACAAAACATTACAATGAAGCTAACAGGGATGTGATGCAACAAGGCCCGAGGATGCTTGAGGTCAATTATTTACCACGTTCTCCACATCAGTTGCTCCGTGCGTGAATCGGATGGGGTTTTGACTCGATTAATCGAATAATCGGATTAAATGGGAAAATTTAAAAGCTGCTAGGGAAGCAAATTTTCTCTCCTTCCTTTAACAACAAAACCTGATTAGAAAACAGTTCAATAGGGTGCAAAACAACATGCTATCACCTAAATATATCCATAATTAAACTATGATCAGTAAAATTTACTGTATGTCATTAACATGTTCAGTGGTAAGCTACTGGAAGTGCTAATAAATTTAACTGCCACACTCCTGCAGCGATGTTGAGCAGCAGACTCGAAGCAGCAACCTGACTACAGCGGTTCTGCTGCATGGTACTGCAGACCACTTAAACAGGACAATAAACGGGATGGCAGGGTCTTTTCTTCCGCTTGTAGAGTTGAGATATTCTTAGTTTCATGACCATCGTGTTTTTTCTGAACCCCACTTCATCGTGAAACTGCTATGCGCTAGCATTAGCTATCTGCCTGTAGTTGCACTTTTCATCCCAAACTTTGGACCGTTCCTGCCTTTGTGTCTTTACTGGTTTCCGTTTTCCTCCACAGCACCTAGATTAGCTCACTGTGCACCAGTAAAAAGCCTCTTCCTTACACAACAAGCTTACGTTTGTTCAACAACGCGCTGGGGGGGAAAAAAGGAACTTTAAAAGATGCTGCAGGAGTGCTACGTCTAAAAATAGTTTATCGCACACTTAGTTTGCACACGCGTGCGCGACATATATGTCTATCTCGCTCTGATCTGCCTCAGTCTGATCTGCTGCCGCATCAGATGAGCTGCATGCATTGACTTAATATGATTATTAAACAACTAATCGATGACTAAAAAAGTTGTTAACTATTTTAATAATCGATTATAATCGATTAAATCGATTAGTTGTTTCAGCTCTAATTGACTGTTAAATAAAGGTTGCACGACACAAAAAAAGTTGCACAACACAACGAATCGATGACTAAATGAGTTGCAAACACATTTCTTCGTCGAGTTTTATTGATTCGTTGTTGCAGCCCTACAGGCGTAATGATGAGAAAAAAAAATAAAAAATGCTGCTAATGAGTACATTTTTCTTTTTTTGTAGAAAAATGAAATTACTGGTATAAATCAGATTTTTGACATTAAAGAACTGGCTGAACATGACACGTGGCAGCATCTGGCTACACTCAGCAGCGCTCTCATTAGGAGATGATGTGTGTGTGTGTGTGTGTGTGGTGGTGTTTCTATTTTGGGGTGGGAGGACCTGATCACATAAATAAAGGCATTTTTAGGAGAATAGATGTCAGACAAAATAGCATCAGACTGCAGCCGTTCAGCAGTTTTTCTCACACTGAAAGGGTGCTGCTGCTGCTCACACAGTCGTGCTACGCTCTACTTTTGGGATTCCATCAACTGGACCATCAAACCCTTAAAAACTGCTGTCCAGTATGTTCTTGTTGATTCTTAGAAACAACTAAGAAGAGACACCAGACAGCTGCTGAAACCAGACACCACACGCCGTGTTTACATTGCCTCTAAATTCAATTTTCCCTGTGTTGGTGACATGCTCGCCGTCTGTCGTCTTCCCTCCCATCCAACGTCCGTTCCCATGACCTTGTTACTGACGCTGGACTCTGACCTATCTCATCTGAGCACACCAGACTTTCTGATGGCTCATTACAAGCCTGAGTGGGACCAGAGTGGAGCGGCCTGGGTGTGTTCCTTACCTTAACAGCACCAATCTGTTCCTTTCGAAACTTCTCAAGTGGTGAAATCAGAACGTCATCAGCATTTTGGATCTGAGAAATAAAAAGGAGAAACCAACAGTGAGTCCGGTGTTGTAAACAGCGAGACCAGCTTTAATAAAAGGGATTCCAACGGTCCCATGGGAGACGTTTTTGAAATGTCAGATGGAATGAAATGTGCTCCGGTCAGAAAAATCAGACGTTCCTACAGGAATGCATCATCGTTGCCTCAAACTACGATCATCTTATGTTATGAAACGATAAAGTTTTAGCCGTTTTAGTCAAATCTTGTGAATAACATTACTTCTAGAACATCTCATGGAATAAGTGTGTTGGTGATGACTCTAACACTCCAACATCAAAATGTTTCTCAGTATCTGGTAGAGCCAATAAATAAATCTATCTCAGTCGCAACTTTTTAAAACACTCCCAAAACGTCCACCATGGTGGACCCACGATTGGTTGTGTAGTATTGAGGCAGTACAAGTGCAAAGAAACACACACACACACACACACACACACACACACACACACACACACACAGTATGTGGCCTATACAGATACTGGTTTCAGTGCATCCCTATTAAGATTCATTGAACACCCTTATCTAGCTCAAAAAACACTACATCAAATTTGAAAAAACATTTGAAGTCGTGGTACGGCCGTCTAAATATATTTTAGAAAATGTACTTTTTTCTGTTGGTTTAAACTTTAGGAGTAACTAACATAAATCACTTCACCCATGCTGCACATGTGGCTCACATCAGCGGGCATCAGATTTTTAAGACAGGTCATCCTAATCTACCTCAAAGAAGTAGTCAATCTTTAAGACTGTGAAACTCACCCTGATAGATGTGAGTGTGATCTTACAGACCAGGCAGGAGCTGACTCGGCACCACCTCTGTGAAGGAATTATGCTAAAACTGCTGCAATCTTCTTTCAGCTGCAGAGTCAATATGAGAAACTTTTGTCTGAGTTTTGAACTCAGTCAAGAAAAATAAGCAGTCGTTTACTTATCAGAGTTTTTGTGTTTATGTTCGGTCTGGCAGCTCTTTAGTCATGAGTCTATTAAAAACTTCTGTCCAGTCTGAGTTTGTTCAGCTTTGTTGTTCCAAACATCAGACTGACGGTAGTTTGAGGCCTCCATCGCTTTCACTTTAAGGTTGGACCAGAGCTTAGACAAAAGTTTCCTTTCTTTGGTTTGGTCAATTTTTTCAACACATCACAATATGTAGAGTGAAAGTGAAATCTGAGACTGGGGGGGCATTGTCAAACCCAACAATAATTCTTTCAGGTTGAACAGGCTAGTATTTCAGAGGAACCCTTTTTTATGGAAAACTCCCTGGCGGTGATGCTATTACTGGAGTTCCACATCAGCCAGTAGGGTTGTAGCCATGTCACAGCACATGCAAATCCATACAATCAAAATATGCGAGAGAGAGAGAGAGAGAGAGAGAGAGAGAGAGAGAGAGAGAGAGAGAGAGAGAGAGAGAGAGAGAGAGAGAGAGAGAGAGAGAGAGAGAGAGAGAGAGAGAGAGAGAGAGAGAGAGAGAGAGAGAGAGAGAGAGAGAGAGAGAGAGAGAGAGAGAGAGAGAGAGAGAGAGAGAGAGAGAGAGAGAGAGAGAGAGAGAGAGAGAGAGAGAGAGAGAGAGAGAGAGAGAGAGAAAGAGAGAGAACCTTAAAAGATTTTCTCAGGCTATGCTTCGCATCACAGGGGAATTGCCAGAATAGGTTCCACATGGCTCCTTTTCAGCCAGACCATGAACACACAGCCACAGAGGCAAACACACTCTCACACAAGGGTCTATACATAAAAGCAGCCTACCATGCAGATCTATTACAAATGAGCAGAACTGGGACAGAATCCAGTCGCTCCCCACAAAGGCCTCTAACTGACGGAGAGTCTCTGAGTCAAAGGCGTCGTCGTCGTCGTCGTCTTCCTCCGCTTATCCGGGTCCGGGTCGCGGGGGCAGCATCCCAACTAGGGAGCTCCAGGCCGTCCTCTCCCCGGCCTTGTCCACCAGCTCCTCCGGCAGGACCCCAAGGCGTTCCCGGACCAGATTGGAGATGTAACTTCTCCAACGTGTCCTGGGTCGACCCGGGGGCCTTCTGCCGGCAGGACATGCCCGAAACACCTCCCCGGGGAGGCGTCCAGGAGGCATCCTGACCAGATGCCCAAACCACCTCAACTGGCTCCTTTCGATCCGGAGGAGCAGCGGTTCTACTCCGAGTCCCTCCCGAATGTCCGAGCTCCTCACCCTATCTCTAAGGCTGAGCCCGGCCACCCTACGGAGGAAACTCATTTCGGCCGCTTGAATCCGCGATCTCGTTCTTTCGGTCATTACCCAAAGCTCATGACCATAGGTGAGGATTGGGACGTAGATCGACCGGTAAATCGAGAGCCTGGCTTTCTGGCTCAGCTCCCTCTTCCCCACGACAGATCGGCTCAGCGTCCGCATCACTGCAGACGCCGAACCAATCCGCCTGTCGATCTCCCGATCCCTCCTACCCTCACTCGTGAACAAGACCCCGAGATACTTAAACTCCTCCACTTGAGGTAGGACCTCTCCCCCGACCCGGAGGTGGCAAGCCACCCTTTTCCGGTCGAGAACCATGGTCTCAGATTTGGAGGTGCTGATCCTCATCCCAGCCGCTTCACATTCGGCCGCGAACCTACCCAGCAAGAGCTGAAGGTCAGAGCTGGATGAAGCTAGGAGGACCACATCATCCGCAAAAAGCAGAGACGAGATTCTCCTGCCACCAAACTCGACACACTCCACACCACGGCTGCGTCTAGAAATTCTGTCCATAAAAGTGATGAACAGAACCGGTGACAAAGGGCAGCCCTGGCGGAGTCCAACCCTCACTGGGAACAGGTCCGACTTACTACCGGCTATGCGGACCAAACTCACGCTCCTCTGGTAAAGGGACTGAATGGCCCTTAACAGAAAGCCACCCACCCCATACTCCTGGAGCGTCCCCCACAGGGTGCCCCTGGGGACACGGTCATAAGCCTTCTCCAAATCCACAAAGCACATGTGGATTGGTTGGGCAAACTCCCATGCCCCCTCCATCACCCTTGCAAGGGTATAGAGCTGGTCCACAGTTCCACGGCCAGGACGAAAACCACATTGCTCCTCCTCTATCTGAGATTCAACTATCGATCGGACCCTCCTCTCCAGTACCTTGGCGTAGACCTTTCCAGGGAGGCTGAGGAGTGTGATCCCCCTATAGTTGGAACACACCCTCAGGTCACCCTTCTTAAAGATGGGGACCACCACCCCGGTCTGCCACTCCCTAGGAACTGCCCCCGATGACCACGCAATGTTGTAGAGACGTGTCAACCATGACAGCCCTACAACATCCATAGCCTTGAGATACCCAGGACGAACCTCATCCGCCCCCGGGGCTCCGCCGCTGTGTAGTTGTTTGACTACCTCAGCAACTTCTGCCCCCGAGATCGGACAGTCCATCCCCAGGCCTCCCAGCTCTGGTTCCTCCTCGGAATGCGCATTGGTGGGATTGAGGAGCTCCTCAAAGTATTCCTTCCACCGTCCGACTATAGCCTCAGTTGACGTCAGCAGCTCCCCATCCCCACTGTAAACAGTGTGAGCGAGTTGCTGCCTTCCTCTCCTGAGGCGCCGGACAGTTTGCCAGAACCTCTTTGGAGCCGATCGATAGTCTTTCTCCATGGCCTCACCAAACTCCTCCCACGCCCGAGATTTTGCCTCGGCAACTGCCACTGCTGCACCCCGCTTGGCTATCCGGTACCTGTCTGCTGCCTCCGGAGACCCACAGACCAGCCACGCCCTGTAGGCCTCCTTCTTCAGCCTGACGGCTCCCCGAACCTCTGGTGTCCACCAGCGGGTACGGGGGTTGCCACCACGACTAGCACCGGCCACCTTGCGACCACAGCTAGCAACAGCCGCCTCGACAATCGCAGAGTGGAACAAGGCCCACTCGGACTCAATGTCCCCCACTGCTCTCGGGACGTGGTCAAAGCTCTGCCGGAGGTGGGAGTTGAAGACCGTCTTGACAGGTTCTTCTGCCAGGCGTTCCCAGCAGACCCTCACTATGCGTTTGGGTCTGCCAGGTCTACGCGGCATGTTCCCTTGCCATCTGATCCAACTCACCACCAGGTGGTGATCAGTTGACAGCTCCGCCCCTCTCTTCACTCGGGTGTCCAAAACATACGGCCGCAGGTCAGATGATACGACTACAAAATCTATCATCGACCTGTGACCTAGGCTGCCCTGGTACCAAGTGTACCGGTGGGCATCCTTATGTTCGAACATGGTGTTCGTTATGGCCAAACTGCGGCTTGCACAGAAGTCCAATAACAAAACACCGCTCGAGTTCTGATCAGGTGGGCCGTTCCTCCCAATCACACCCCTCCAGGTCAAGCTGTCATTGCCCACGTGAGCATTGAAGTCCCCCAGCAGGACAATGGAGTCCCCTGATGGAGCACTATCTAGCACTCGTCCCAGGGACTCCAAAAAGGGTGGGTACTCTGAACTGATATTTGGCCCATAAGCACAAACAACAGTCAGGACCCGTTCCCCGACCCGAAGGCGCAAGGAAGCTACCCTCTTGTCCCCCGGGGTAAACCCCAACACACAGGCAGAGAGTCTCGGGGCTAACAAAAAGCCAACCCCAGCCCTCCGCCTCTCACCCGGAGCAACTCCAGCAAAGTAGAGTGTCCAACCCCTCTCCAGGTCTCGGGTTCCAGAGCCAATGCAATGTGTCGAGGTGAGTCCGACTATATCTAGCCGGTACCGCTCAACCTCTGCCACAAGCTCCGGCTCCTTCCCCGCCAGCGAGGTGACGTTCCATGTCCCAAAAACTAGTTTTCTTGTCCGGGGATTGGACCGCCAAGGCTCCCGCCTTGGTCTGCCACCCGATTCACATTGCACCGGACCCTTCATGTTCCTCCTGCGGGTGGTGGGTCCACAGTTGGACGAGCCCATGTATCCGGTTCGGGCTGGGCCCGGCCGGGCCCCATGGGCGAAAGCCCGGCCACCAGGCGCTCGCTCACGGGCCCCAACCCCAGGCCTGGCTCCAGGGTGGGACCCCGGTAACCCTCCGGGCCGGGTACTCCGACTCTTCGTTTTCACCGCCATGAAAGATCCTTCGCACCGTTCTTTGTCTCACCCTTCACCTAAGACCAATTTGTCATGGGAGACCCTACCAGGGGCACTAAGTGCCCCAGACAACATAGCTCCTAGGATCATTAGGGCACTCAAACTCCTCCACCACGATAAGGTGACGTTTCAAGGAGTCAAAGGCATTTCCCAAATTACCGAGGTGCACATAAAGCTGCTGGCAAGAAGTTAACATGACAAATGTGTGAACCAGACTTGTGGGAAAACCGGAACAAGAAGCACAACCAAGTGAGTGAGTGTGGATTCGTAAGAAAAGAAGCCTGAAAAGGACTGTGGCTTTTAGACTCAAATCCTGCAAAGTCAGCGAAACATAAACTCATATTTCAGCTTCTCCTGCCACAATCTGTGGATGGGCTTCAATAAAACTCAGACTAATATCTGAACGTTCATCTACAACTGATTAATGTTTGTAGTCAACATCAGTCAAGATGGCTAACCATAACCCAGAGTTAGGGTTGGGCATCATCTGAATTTGAATGATTCCGATTTCAATTCTTAGTTTTGATTCCGGTTCCTATTGATTCCCAATTCCGATTCTTTCAAGAGAAAGGATCCAAAAACCTTACATGTTTTAAACGAGCCAGCTAACCACAGGTCTTACTTAATGAAATAATCTGAACTTCAACATGAATTTTAATTCTACAAACAAAAACATCACCTTCATTTAGAATAGAAATGTGTTTTAAACGAAGAAAGAAAAAGACTTGCAGCACAACCGCTGAGTTTGTTTCTGAGGTGATCATGGACAGGGTGATCATGGACAGGGTGATCATGGACAGGCTGATCATGGACAGGGCGATCATGGACAGGGTGATCATGGACAGGGTGATCATGGACAGGGTGATCATGGACAGGGTGATCATGGACAGGATGATCATGGACAGGGTGATCATGGACAGGGTGATCATGGACAGGGTGACTGAGAGTCTACACCTACGTGCTGCAGCAGTGATTCAGTCAGAAGGGAAACTGAAACCTAAATGTATCTGCTGTCAGTGACAATCTAACAGATTTAAAACATTAAAAGTCTTAACAGAATAAATAGTTAAAAAAGAAAAAGAATTTCACAACTTAACGTGTTGTGAGATTTATTATATGATTATTATTTATTTATTTATTTATTATTTATATCGGCTGCTAGTGGCAGAACCCGGTGTGGTCCACCAGAGAGAAAGCTGCTCTAGCATGGTGACTAATTATTTTACAGGTTATTCTTCAGCCTCCTGACGCTCAAGCTCACACACACACACACACACACACACACACACACACACACACACACACACACAGGTGTTGGTGAGGGGCTGCGCTTGACTGTTGACGCTCTCGGTGTGTTTTTATTTCTGCAGTGAGATAAACTAGCCTCACACCTCCCGGAGTTTGTTCTTTAAAACTTGTATCAAATCCACCGTATTGACGCATTTTAATGAGCTTCCTCCATGCCATATATTTTGGTGCAGGAATTAAAGTTTACATCACGGAGAAAACGTTCGGCTGATGCGTTTTGTACACTTTTGCTGCTGAGCGCCTGCGCAGTGAGAGAGCGGAGGGGGGACGCGATGCTGCTCTCAGGCTCTCTGCGGGCTGCAGAGCAGGAGCGACAGACAGCTGGTGTGATCAGCTCTGAAAGGCGTTGATCAGAATTTGCAGATCACATTTGTTTCCACAGAGATTGGCCTCAGATTCTTCTTCTGGTCGGCAGCCTGGGAATCGAAACTGGGAATTGAAATAAAAAAATTTGAACGATTCTGGGAAAAACTGACAGTCCCAGTTACACTCGATGCACGCTACAATACCCATAGCCAATTGGCCTTAGCAAACACACAATTCACAGATTCCGAGCTATGATTTGATGTGGGAGTAGTGAGTTCATTCACAACTGTTATTAACTAAATGGTTACACAATATCTTGTGACTGCAGTGATTGGTTAAGACTGCACAAAGCATTATTTTCAAGATCTGACCAAAACACCAACGGTGATCTTTCAAAGAATGATGGACATTTTTTTAAATGATGCAACAATAAATATGATTTTGTTAACTAACGAACTTTATGCATTTGCAAACTTCCCTGATTTTATAGTTTCTTCTATTAAAAACAAAAACAGGTCATCCTCAAACATAAATACATGACAGCCACAAAATCTTTTAGAGCCTACAGAGATAAAATACCTACTCATCATACATACAGTAATGTACGTTGGTCTCCATTTACGCTAGAGCATATGAACTCAATTCCTCACCAGTCGTTTTCTTTCTTCTTCCATGGTGCTTAACAGCTGAGAAAACTCCTTCAAGGACTGAGCTGCAGAAGAAACAAGTCAGGTCATGTCTCACATATGCAGACCTAACAGCTAATACTGGTGAAGCATGATAAAAACAGTTCTGATCAACTTTTAACTCACCTATGTTGATCTCATCATCAGTCTCAGCATCTCCTATGCACTCAAACTGGAACTCCTGCAGAGACCGGGAGAACCGCTGCACTGCAAGAGAAAGACCTGAGGGGAACGATATTTCAGTCGCATTAAAAATAAACGATTAATGTGCTAATTTCATTTTCCTATTTGTTCATACTGGCGTGATTGTAAACATGATGTAATGCTCCTGTTTCCCTTCAAGGCCGTAGTCATTTTCCACCCCTGCCTTAAAGTAGTAACACATTTTCCTACAAGAGTCAGCATTTCATTCAGTGGCGAGCCACCAAGTGTCAAAGTCTGATGTAATTGGACAGCCACACCCTGGAGTGTGTGTGTGTGTGTGTGTGTGTGTGTGTGTGTGTGTGTGTGTGTGTGTGTGTGTGTGTGTGTGTGTGTCCATGTCAAACACTGCTTTACAATCCTACAGCCATATCCATCAAACAGCTGCAGTACAAACAGATAAAGTTAAACGGAATGACAGCTGAACCTGTTTATGAGCTGATTTATAGTTGAGATTAATACATGAAGGGAAATGTTGGGTATTTTTATAATTGTACCTTTTTGAGGCCTAAAAGATGCCCAATTAGTGTTATTAACACTTCATGAATCTCTGTGTTTGCCAACTGTGGCTGTTCATGAAAGGTTGAGCAGAGAAGCTTGTTTGCAGTCAAGGATGTTGATTGTGGATTTCCAAAGAAACCTCTGTACCTCTGTAACCTGAGAAGGCCCCGCCTTCTCCATCCTTTGCTGAATAAAGCCCCTGACGAACTGAGAACACAGGGGAGTAACGTGGGGACAGCCTCGGAGGAGGTTCCTCTGCGTTAACTCGCCATTATTTGGGGGACTCAGGGTAAAATGTCTCCTTTTTGTCGTGTGTGTTTATTTCAGGTTCCAGGGATATGGAGATTAAATATACCCCACATTTAATTACCTAACAGGAAATGAAAACAAAAACATCCTTCAACACTGGAAACAGAAATGAGAACTCGTTCATTTATTATTGAATTTGGTGGGACCTTTAGTGTTGATCTCATTTAGTGTCATTAGATATTCTTCCATCGGTGATGTCAGTAGTTTAGTTTATTAGCATTCCGAAGACAGAAGAAGTAGTTCCAAACTTCGGGTCCAGATTATACCTAAATTTTTAGATTATTTTAATTTCTTTATACTTTTATTTGCTTGGACTAAAGGTAAAGGTGCCTGTTTGAGGAAGCAGAAGTAAGCTGGAGGAGAAAGTAGTTTCAGACGCGAGTCAAGATGGGTAACTCCATGAATGTTAAGTGAAGGTGTGATGTAGATCTGTCAGGTTTTCTACACCGTGGCTCCGTTTAGCACAGAAAGCTCTTGCCCATTTGCTACTGGTTCAAAACGCTGCTGAACGTTTACAGCAACACATCAGCCCAGTTCTCCGTCTTCCTATAAAGTTTAAGATCCAGTTTAAGACTCTAATGTTTGTTCTTAATTCATGGTCGCGCCCCTTCTCTTTATCTCTCACTTTCAGTCCTTGCACAAACACCAGAGAGAAACAAGGTCATCGGGCCAAATTTATTTTCATGTTCGAAGACCAAAATACAGATGGTGGGGGGGGGGGGGGGGGGGGGGATCATGCTGTGGCAGCCCCAAAGCTGTGGAACAAACGAAAGATCACAGTTGGAATCGTATTTTTGTCACAGGCCTTTTGAATAACCTAGAGCGTTGTGATGTGTATGATGATGTTCTTTTAGTTTTAGCATTTCAATTTTTTTTTCCAACATTGCAGTTTTTACTGTGCTTTTTTAATGTTTTACTTGTTTTTAAATTCCTGTTTTAGACGAGAAGCACTTTGGTCACCTCATGGGTGTTTCTAACATTTAGCTTTAGGTTTATTATCCTCTCTAAGAGGAGAATCTGGCTCTAAATGTTTACCACCGTTTACTCTGAAAGGTCTATTGCTGGTTTTCATTTAGGTTCATTACTTCAGATTAAAATGAGCTAAAAGCTAAATCAGGTACAATGAATCTAGACCCCCGTGAGACTTCAGACATATGAACAAATCATATTGCATTTGAGGTCAAACTCATATAAAATGTAGAAAATAAAACTGATTAATAGTATGATAGATATAAATATTAAAAAATGAATCAGTTATAATAATAATGAGGCAGTTAAAGCTGCTATAGCAAATCTACAGAGCAAGCTAAGTTTAGAATGCAAACACAGTCCCAGAACACTCACCCCTCCCCTCAGGTATCTTCCATGAGACATTTGTTTTAACCCTCCCACTGTCTTCAGGGGTGACCCCGCCAGGAAAGTTGACCATTGAGCAGGATTGATGGTTTATCCCTTGAGGTCCATGTGGCAGGGGTAAGGAGTGAGCATCACCTCATCCCTGTCACATGGACCCAAGGGAAGTAGGGAGACAAAAATGACTTGAATGGTGGTGAGGTCCAGATTTGTTCACTTTTACACTTTCTTACTGACTTGGAATGTACAGTCAATAAACCTCATTTACATTAAATTCTACAACATTGCATTAAAATGAGTGGAAACCCCGTTTGGATCCAAACTACCTCATTAAAGGTAACCCCCCCACCCCCCACCCCCCATTATGTTCATGTGTTAGACACACAGCTCTGCCAGAACAGGCTGCGTTAACAGACGACAGCTCCGTCACCTAAAGGTTTTACCTTCAAGAACAGAACCAAACTCTTCACAGAATATGTAAAACAACCCTTAAATATGAATCTGTAAACAGAACAGAACGTTACATCTGTTACAACCAAAACTTTCTTGAAGCTAAAGCTGAAATATTGGCCAAAGGAGGAGATGGCAGCGCGCAGGACATTTTATCCATCAACGAAGACAAAGTCGGTAGTACGGGCATTTTTTTGGATATTTGAAGAATGCCGAGGGACAGCTGCAGCACGTGCAGAAAAAGTGTCTGTGAAAGGCAGCAACGCTTCAAATCTCATGACACATCTGCGTGACCATCACATACAACTCTACAGTCAACGAAAGGCAAGTTAGCATTAGCGTTTTAGATAAAATGCGTGATCCGAGGATTTGGGTTGAGGGAGAATGCAGCGAGTTGCTATATAAAGCAGCCGCAGCGTCGCTACCTGCATATAAACCGTGTCGCGGACACCGCCATGTTGAAATGACGCTACGCATTACGGGGCTCCCAGCGGCAGATAAGAGTTGGTCTCTCTCCGAGAATAATTCTGAATTTAACAATGATTACTGCCTGATGACATTTTCCCAAATCTGCAAAGCTCACTGGAAGAACACAAACCGAGGACAATATTTTCCTGATATAGGGTTTATTACTCAAGTAAGGGTAAAAAGGTATCTGATTAGAAGGCTACTTGAGTACTGAGTATCATCTCTGATCTAATATTTTTAAATGATGACATCAAACAGACAAAAAATAAGAAGTTATGGGCAAATATTGATATTTTAAGACTAAAGGGGAAAATGTAAACAAATAAACAACATAATTACAAAATAACAAATTGTAGGCAAAATTTAGACACAAACTGAGGACAATGTTTTCTTGATATACAGGGCTTATTTAGTTGTCTGAAAATTTAACATGTTTAAAAAAATACCGCGATAATACCGAAAACCGTGATAATTTTGGTCACAATAACCGTGAGGTAAAAATTTCACACCGTGACAACCCTACATGGATTATTTTGGTGTTAGTTGGCTCCAAGCCCCCACAATGCGGCTCCAAAATTGGTCCCAACCCAGAAGTACCAAAAATTGTAGTTCCACCCTCATCCACTGGGGGCTGGTGTCAGAAGCGAGCAAATCCTCATTGACTCCCATGTTGAAAATACCAATTGCACAGCAGAAATAAACATGTTTACAGCCTGGTTCCAAAACATGTTTTTTGTTTAAATGATCTAGTTTACACTCATGACAACTCTGAGGGGGTGGGGGTGGGGGTGGTGAATTTTTTTTCTCACTCTTCTGTTTAAGTGTATTAAAAGCCTAAAATTCTGTATAATTAATGAGCATCAGACCCACGTGACCACAGAGCTAGCTCTGTGGAAAGGCCTCAGTAGAGCCTCGGTCTGGCTTGGAAACTGCTCCGGGATTTTGAGTCTCTGTGTTTGTGTATTCTTTTTTGGATATTTTTTGTGCAATTGTTAGACAAAATGACCTGCTGTGGCATTAATTGCACTAATAGAGCGTCCAAGGAGTCTCCACTTAATTTTTTTCGGTAAGTAAAATTATATTAATGTATTTTAGGTCACTGCCGAGCTGAGCTTAGATTTTAACATGTACTGTTTAACCATGAAATTTAAATGTAATAGGGTAAAACCCAGTGCATTTAACATAATGCTGCACTTTAGAAAATGGGTTCAAATATAACATGTTGGTGGAGCTGGGTTCCGACTATCGGCTTGTGGAGCTCTCGGGAGACCGATGTTTTCCAGCCGGTTCTCCCCTCTCGGCCCATCTCTGTCTGATCGCGGCTTCTGTGTGCTGCGCGGGCTACCGGCTTGTGGAGCTCTGGGATGGAAACCTTTCCACCCGGTTCTCCCCAGCGGCAGCTCTGCGCATCTCAGATCGCAGCGGCGCTTGTCTGCTGTGCGGCTGCCGGCTTGTGGAGCTCTCGTAGACCTCTGTGTTCCACCCGGTTTTACCCAGCGGTCAGCCCGGCGTATCTCTGACTCAGAAGCTCTGGTGTTGTGCACAGTTAACTCCAGTTGTAGCTAGGTTGCTACCTCCGTTAGCTTAGCTCCCACCTCCGCGTTAGCTTTGGGTTAGCTTCAGGTTAGCTTGTAGCTAGTTCGACCGGGTGTCGTCAGTTGATCCCAGCCTTACAGCCCCACCCTCAGCTCCTCCTCTCTTCCCTTTTATGGAATTGTCTGGGCTTGACGGAACCTGTGACACGGTCAAAATGGTGGTGGTGGCCACCTCCCATTTTAGCACAAAAACGTTTTATTGGAGTCTATGGAAACCCATTGTCCATATATGTATGTCGATGGTTGGCTCATGCTAGTGTTGAGTTGTTTACGACAGTTGTAAATCCACTATCAACCAGTAGGGCGGCAGAGCAGGAAACTGTCTAGTGTTAACTAACAAGATGTTTACAATGATTGGGCGATGTCTTTCCAGGATTTTACGTTTCAGAGAAGATTAAAATTAATACAGTTTTGACTAAATGTTTAATTTATTGGTTGCCATCAGTGCATGAAGAGCTTTTCAAGGAAATGGATAAAAAAGTTGAAGAAAAACTCAGACTTCACCTGTAAAAGTATTGAAAATGTAGATATGATGCCTATTCAGACTAAAAGGAAAACAGATTTCTATTTAGTAAACACAGATAAGTTAAAGAACATGTATTTGGATAACAATTACTCATTCTGTTATCTCATATATTTATACATCCTTGTGCAACAACCCTGTATGATCTAGCAATGTTATGAATGTTTTGATGACTAATATTACAATGAAAACAGAAATAAACAATAATGGTGCGAATTTAATTTTGATTCATGCACATTTAAATATTTTGACCTCTGATGATTGATGAGTATACAATATGTGTGTTATAAATTATTTCTTATTAGCAAGAACACAAATGGATAATAATAATCATAATATTATTTAAAGAAAAGTATGTATATTAATGTATCATACACGCTGTTTCAGACATAAAAGAGTTGTCTACATCCAAGCACTGATCACAGAATGACTCGCTGTGATTGAACTAGTGGCCTTTTGTCGCGGCAGCAACGCTCACACGAACCCAAACACGGCTGAATAACGAGAGGTTACTTACTATTTAGAGCAGATATGAGCATGTTTCCATCTTTGATGAGGTCTTTTATAAATCTGTTGGTGCGCTCCAGCTCTATTTCATGGCACTGCAGCCGCTCTCTGAACTCAGGACTGTCCAGCAGAGAATCACTGAACTCCAGCGTCGGCAGACCCATGACGACTCCACACACACCGCTACTAATTACACAACGGAGGCGAGAGCTTTATGTTTCCTGTTGGTGGAGATAAACCTACCACATACCGCGGTGTTTGAATAAATATGCACCGGAACTTGGTCAGAAGTTCATCCAGCTCCTGTTTTTCATGCCCCTCTCGCTTCTTCTTCGTCTTTTTTTTTCCTGCCGCTGAACTTCCGGACAGCAGAGCTGGGCTTCGTCGAGCTAATCTGTTCCCTTCTTGGATGCACTAGTCAAATATAACGCTGCTGGGATACTTTATAGATGAAACAACGAGGACATCTGACATAGTTGGATAAAACAGGACTTTGTACAGGACCGAGCCCGAGCTAACTTTCTTTTCCACCCGACAGCTTGTTACTATGGGAACGGGAGACTCCTGCTGGCGCGCGGAGAAATCTAGGATAGGTTTTGTAATACAGTATTAGCACAATGCTAACAACAGACTGATTACAACAGTAATTCACATATTTTATGGTTAAATAAGCGTTCAAATTACAAGGTCAAAATTCATCTAAAATCTTTTTATTGCACTTGCCTTTTAAAAGAAGTTATTTAAGGGTAAAGAAGGCCATTAATCCATTAATTTGTCAGTGATGTAATATAGCTTACTATTTTAGCTGAGTATAATCCTTAGCTGGATGATGAAATAGTCGTTTTCTGCTTTTTGGTTTACATTTAGACCGAAATGTTGTCATTTCTTATTGTGTGTTTACTTGTAGATGAAGGGGGTGGATATTCCTCTTGTAGCAGCTTTATTGACATTCTCTGCTGTTTTGGATGGCTCAGCTGTACACAATGCTGTGAAACAGTATTTAGCACCCCAAAGATGTCTTCTGTTTATGCTATTTTTGTTTAACAGGAAAACTATTTCAATATCGGACAAAGACAATCAGAGAACATAAAAAATGCAGTTTTCATGGAATGATTTCATTTATTGAGATAAACAAAGTTATCCAAACAAGCATGGCCTTGTGTGATTAAATAATTTACCCCATCACATAATCATGATGAATAGCAACGCCAACGGTAAAACAACCGTGTCGCTCTGCCGTAACTCCTTTATATGTTTTACAAGTTTAACAAAAAATCACTTCCTGTCTGAAACTATGGAAGCCCAAAGAACGGGTTGTCAGAATAACTCAAACATATGACTTAACTCAAATTTACTTTAAATGAAGTTTACATTTCGGCCCCTAATTGTTACTGCTGTGACGTAACAATTACCAGATAAAAAAAAAAGATGTCATTTATACGCAAGTCAGGCACATATGTAACAGAAACATTGCTTATTCAGTCAGCCTGTACATTCAATATCCTTTGTAAACTAAACACACATGTCATTAAAATCATCTTCAATGAAACAAACCAAAGTATTTCAACATTCATTGATTAAACATCCATTTCTAGCAACAAGCATAACTTGTCCACAGGTCTCTCCAGGACACTAGTTTTGGTTTTAACAAACACACGATGCACAAGTCCATGTGAATCTGGAACCGATTGTTCAACTCTTCCCATCAGCCAAGAATTTCTTGGTGATGTTTCATCAACAATGAGAACAACATCTCCTGATTTGAGATTTTGTCTCATTACTGTCCACTTCTGTCTCTCCTGTAGAAGAGGCAAGTACACTTTTGTCCAACGCTTCCAAAACATTTAAGAAAGATACTGGACTTGTTTCTACCTTCGCCTTGCGTACAAGTCCTCCTTCTGAAACAACCCTGGAGGTAATGCTGGCTGACGTTTAAGAAGAAGCAAATGGTTTGGTGTGAGTGCCTCCACATCATTTTGATCATCTGACACTCTTGTTATTGGTCTGCCATTAAGAACAGCTTCCACTTCACGAAACACTGTCTGAAGGCGCTCATCATCAAGAAGCTGTTGTTTTAGTACCTGGTGAAGAATTCTCCTCACAGAACGAATCTGTCTCTCCCAGATGCCCCCAAAATGTGAACCGGCAGGTGGGTTGAACATCCAGGTTATGCTTTTCTGAAGGAGCACATCTGAGATTTTAGATTGATTTCAGCCGTTAGTTGCTTCACGCATCTCTCTTTCTGCTCCCACCAGATTTGTCCCATTATCTGATCTCATAACAGACACTTGACCTCTGCATGCAATAAATCTTCTAAATGCATTTATGCATGAATCAGTCTCAAGTGAATGGGTGACTTCTATGTGTACTGCTCTAATTGTAAGACACCATATCGCTTGACTGTACTTCATCCGCACTTGACATCAAATGGACCAAAGTATTCTATACCCCCATTGGTAAATGGAGGCTTGTCAGGTGTCAAACGATCCAGTGGCAAATTAAATGGCCTGTATTTTTTGATATAGCGCCTTCTAGAGTCCTAGAACCCCCCAAGGCGCTTTACAACACAATCAGTCATTCACCCATTCACACACACATTCACACACTGGTGGGGATGAGCTACAATGTAGCCACAGCTGCCCTGGGGCGCACTGACAGAGGCGAGGCTGCCGAGCACTGGCGCCACTGGTCCCTCCGACCACCACCAGCAGGCAACGTGGGTTAAGTGTCTTGCCCAAGGACACAGCGACAGACTGAGCGGGACACGAACCAGCAACCTTCCGATAACGGGGCGAGCACTTAACTCCTGTGCCACCGTCGCCCCAAATTGGCCATTTGTTGCTCTCCAGGTTTAGCTGACAGTCTTTTACACATCACACACTTAGACTGTATCTTTCTAATCGCCGAGTCTGCCTGTGGGATCCAGAACTTTTCTCTCAATCTTGACAGTGTATAATTCTTCCCACTGTGTCCAGTTTCCTGATGTATGTGTCGAAGAATCAACGTTGAAACATGGTGATTTTTTGGAAGGATCACAGGGTGCTTAAGATCTGAAGGCAATGCAGACTGATGCAACCTTCCTCCAACTCTTAAAATCCCATCTTGCAGAACAGGGTCAAGTTTAATGATATGACTGCCCTTTTTCAGTTTTTCACCCTTTTTGAGATTTGTGAGTTCATCTCTGAAACCTTGCCCTTGACAAAGTTTAATGATTTCAATTTTTGCTTCTGCAACATCTGCATCAGCTAACAAAGATGCTGTCCAGGTTGATCTAAACCGTTGCATTTGGTTTTGAACCACTTCAGTTATTTTTGTTTGACTTGACAAATCTTTAATTTGTGCCATGCCATCAGAAGTTTTCTCTGCTGGCTCAGGTCATGAAGCAACTGTTTAAACTTTAACATCCAAGACACTGCCCTTTTTAATCTGTGCCACTCTGAGTAGTTACTGATGAACTCAGAAAGTGGATCCTTGTGCACTTCTGTGGCGCTCACACTGATTGTATTTTTGACTTCAACGTCTTCTCTTAATGTATCTTTCACGTCTGGGAAGACCAGCCAGTGTTCTTCATTTTTTGCAAGAAATTCTGGCCCAGCGATCCAGCTGTGACACTTAGAGAATGCATCTGCAGTCACCCCCCTTGACGCATTGTCAGCTGGGTTTAACTCAGAGTTCACATACATCCACTGACTTGGCCTTGTGTTGTCTCTGATGTCGGACACTGTTTGCTACAAATGTTTTGAATCTGATGTTGGTTGTCGTCGTCGTCGTCTTCCTCCGCTTATCCGGGTCGCGGGGGCAGCATCCCAACTAGGGAGCTCCAGACCGTCATCTCCCCGGCCAGCTCCTCCGGCAGGACCCCAAGGCGTTCCCGGACCAGATTGGAGATGTAACCTCTCCAACGTGTCCTGGGTCGACCCGGGGGCCTCCTGCCAGCAGGACATGCCCGAAACACCTTCCCGGGGAGGCGTCCAGGAGGCATCCTGACCAGATGCCCAAACCACCTCAACTGACTCCTTTCGATCCGGAGGAGCAGCGGTTCTACTCCGAGTCCCTCCCGAAAGGATCTGATGTTCTCACTGGAAATATACTTCAGAACAGTAGTGTGGTCTGACCAAAACACAGACTCTTCCAGAGGCACCTGTAACTCTTTTCTCATTAGTTTGTCCATTTTTACTACAACAGCAGCCGCTGTTAATTCCAGTCTTGGGATTGTTGTTTGTTTCAGTGGTGAAACTCTGGACTTGGCAATAATGAAAGAGCAGCGTGTTACATCACTGCCGTTTGCCATCCGAAGATAAGTCACAACTCCATAGCCCTTTTCATTTGCATCTGCAAAATGATGTAATTTTGCAGAGAGGATTTTTCCAAAACCCACTGGTTTCAGGCATCGACTCACTGTGAAATCATGAAGTTTTGTAAGATCAAAAAGCCATTTTTGTGTTCTTTGTGCCATGTCAGGCGGGATGTCCTGATCCCAGGAGCTCTTTTTGCCACACAGCTCTTGCAGAATGAGTTTTGTTGAAACCCAACGGGTCATATATGGCACAGACAAATGAGAGGAGACCACGTCTTGTTTGTGGCATGTGTCTTATAGTTATCCTAATCTTGAACGCATCCTTTTCAGCACACCATTTAACTCCTAAAACCCGTTCAACAATAAAATGCTGTCCAATAATGTAATAAGATAATGATTGATCAAGGAGTTGCATCCATTCTTAGCCAACAGATATTTATAATAACTTATAAATAGTTATTTATAATAACTTATAATTAGTTTCAAAAGAAAATAGTCTCAGTATTTCTGGCTAAATACATGCTATGAGCCTCTCCCAGGGGTTTGTGTGCACGATCATAGCTGGTTTGTGTATTCACAGTGCTGCTTATGAGGCAATAATCCTTCAGGTCCACTAGGAGGCGCCATAAACATAACCCTTCTTCCCACAACTAAAAGACATACGGAAGAGGATTAGGGCCACAGAAAAGAAAAAAGTAAAGAAAGATAATTCTGACCTTTTTTCTCATAAATCAGAATTCTAACTTTAATAATCCTGAGAAATAAGTCAGAATTGGCTTTCTTTTATTTTCAGTGGCCCTAATCCTCTTCCGTACACATTTTCAGATATAATACAAAAGAGCATCATGTGTAGAAGGCAGGGAAGCCATGATGGGGGAAATGTTAGGATGATTCTAAAGGTCCATGACTGGCAGGGGCACAAATATATATTTTTAATTAAATTCATAAAATGAAAAATTTTTCGTGGGGGCCAAAATACCCGGCGCCGGTTATGGTACAAGTTAAAAGGTTTATTTGAACTCATGTAAAAATAGCACTTTTAAATACTTCTTCTATTTTTGGAAACCCGTGTGTGTGCGTGCATCGGTGTTTATATTCACGCCTCATTTCATGTCGGTTGCCAGAGAACCGAGATCAGTTCCTGGGAGTTTCTTAACAGCAGCTGGTGTTCTAAGCTCCAACGGGATAAAAAGTGAACCATAGGCCTGTTCCGGTTTGAAGGGATCCCAGTCAGCACAGCAGAAAGGCACGGACCACATGCGGGACTCTACAGAGTCTTTATCCAGTGTCTGCAGAACCAGGCATGCTTTGGGAAGTTTTTTTCACACGTGAAATCTTCTGCTGGAACACAAAGCTCCTACAGAACGTCTCCATAGAGGCGGTGAAGATGGGCAGCCGTGATCAGCTGGAGAATGGGGTCCTATCCGTGGAGACAGGCTCAGGTGTGTCTATTCATGACCGCACAGACCAGACCAACAGATGGACTCTGGTGAAGAAAACCGTCCTGTTTTTCACAATCGGATTACTTCTTTTTATTTTGTGCACTCTTTTTCTAGTTTTGCAAAGATCCAACTGACCTTCTTTAGACAGCTACTTTACCTGCAGGCAGGAGTTTATTTATAAAACCCTGCAGGGGCTCAGTTACTGACTGCTTCTCCTTTTACAGAAATCTTATGTTGTAAACATGTCCTTAGGGAAATGTTAGAGAAAATACAAGTATGAGAAGAAATGATTATAAATTTCTAATTAAAATAAACACATTTATTTTCATGTTTGTTGTTTTCTTTATTTGTTTCATACCTGTTGGCCAAATGTTCCTCACATTTTAAACATATTGTTACTTTTAAAGATTTGCAAACTATTTTGATGGTTTTCTTGTCACTGGCGAGAGGTTTAGAGCAGGTCGGAAGATTAATAACTGCAGATGAACTGTATAGTAACCAGAGCTAATGATATTGTTATATAGTTTTAAGCACTTTAGAACCTTCAAACATTTTTCAAGGGGCAAAAATAACCTGGATAAATGACAAAAACACAGAAGATTTGAAAAAGAATAGCTAAGGACTGTATAGACTCAGATTTGAAAGTTGGTTTTAATCCTTTAATCACAACTAAATGATTGACGGATGAGTTTTAACATGTCCACTTCAGAAATATACTTATTAAAAAAAAGAAAAAAATTGGACAATCTAAAATAACAACCATAATGTTCATAGCTCGGTGACAGCTGTCCGAACCGTCCTGACAGTTCTGGATCCAGGATCACCTCCTGTCCCCGTGCCTGCGGTCCTCCCGGTCTCTGTCCCTGTAGTCCCTCCTGTCTCTGCTGTCCCAGCCTGCATCTCTCTGTTGGTACCGTCCTCTCCCCCCATGTCTGTCCCAGCCTCTGCCCCAATCACTCTGCTGCACCGGTCCTGACCCAAGGTTTATGGGTTTCCGGAAAGGCCTGTCCCTGCCGCCGAAGCGCAGCTGTCCGGACTCCTTCTTTCCTCCCAGCCCGCCACCGAGACGCCTCGGGACCCATCCCTGAAGGGTCCTTTCCTGCTCAAAATCCACAAACACTTCATGCTGGTCCACCACCAACTTGTTAGCGTCTCGGTGGGCCCGGGTCACGGACCGCTCCTCCTTGTACTCAATGAAGGCGTATCTTTTCGAGAAACCCGTCACCACATCCCGAACCAGCCGAAGCCGCTTGATGTCACCGTACTTTGAGAACACGCTGTGCAGCTTATCCTCGGTGGTCTGCGGGTTCAAACGGGCCACGAACAGAGTGAGCAGCGGGTCTCCTACAACGCCTCTGTTGGGTTTGTAGCGGGCAAACATAGCCCTCCATATCGCCCGGTCATGGGGCTCCACGTCCGTCCCGTCGATGCTGCCAGCTATCAGCGGGTCGTACTGCTTCGCTAACGGACACCAGTCAGACATGTTAGCCAGACGGAGAAGTCGGTTGTGTTTCAGTGGTAGTTTTCTGGTCGGTTAGTCCTCTACATGGGTCAGAAGCATCGACATAAACATACAGAAGTTAGCCACCAAAATAAACTAGTACGACCGAAGACTTGTGCATCAACAAAAACAGTCCGTAAAGAAACAAGCTGCGCTTGGAAGAATTGTAATGGTTCCCGTTTCTTTCGTTCCCCACCTTTTCAACCACAGGACACGTATAAAATAAAATGAACGAAGACATTAACAATTTAAAGTATCACATAGTCTTATAAATAAAATACGAGGAAACTTGTTCCGCATTTCTATAGCCTTCCTCAGAAAGTTACAGATTTATGATTAAGTTTCCTGGGAAAACATCCTAAATTAGAATAGAATAAAATAGAACATAATGCCTTTATTATCATTGTACAAGTAAAACAAAATAAAAAGTGGTGTCATCTCCTATGGTGCATAAAAATGATCTAATGTGAGCATATGTGTTTTTGTTTAATAATAGAAAGAATTCATTTCACACCGTTATTTGAACTCATTGCGTACATTTTAATTGTGCTCATGTTTTTAAACAGTAACAAAGATTTATTCATGAAGGAATCACAAAAATCTGCCCAGTGAAGTTCTGTGTACACAAAAAGGCTTAGGCTTCAACATGAAAACATGAAATACTACTAATTATTAGAATAAAACAATCTTATTTCCAGGTGTGTTTATTTCTCTTTAGTTTTAATAATGAGCCCAACACTAAAAGGCTTTTTGCAGGGGGTGGGGGTGGGGGTGGAGATTCATTTCTAATCGTTTAATTATCAAAATATTAAGTCACAAAACATTATTTTTTTCCCCAACACAAAACCTCAAATTTAAAAATAAATACATTAGCCGAAGTTAAATGGTGAACCTGCAGTTCCTCTCTACATGACCGTAAAACGAGACCTGCAGTCTGGGGTTGAGGTATTTAGGACTCTGTGATTTTTAGAAGGTCCAGTACATTAAAATGAAAAGTTTGATTTGTGAAAAAACAATTTTAGGACTTTGAATTGTTCAGAACAAATCCTTTGTTCTAGTGAATAAAACATGAGGGTAGTAGATCCTCCTAATGAAAAGCATCAGGGCTTGTTTATAAAATACTTGTGACACAGAAGCTTTACAAAAACATCATTTATTAAAAGATTACAACCTACATCAGTTCTCGTGCCACGTTGCTTCAGTTATAACAAAGAGATAAAGACGTTGTCACACCATGACTGCAATACAGCATCAAACTGATCTGGAAAAAGAACCAAAACGCCATTGGTCCATTACAAAATATACCTTCTGTTGAGTGCATGTGTCTCGATGTGTTTTAACAACAAGAACAAGTCTGTTGACTATAAACGGTGTACTGCTGATGCGTTCGTCTCCGTTTCCTTTACATGTCCTCCACACTCCATTTATATGCTGCCTCCTGGACGGCTTTCCTGTCTGCCATCCGCGTGTAGCGTTTTAACTCAAAACCATTCGACCTGCAAAACATCCATGTAAAAAAATGCCATCAAAATCTGCTATTGTAGCTTAAACTCCCCTGGATTTGATGCTTGTGTGTCCCCTGTTGAGGTTTTTCTTTGCAGATACCTGTCGACTCCATCCCAGCGATAGCCTGGCAGAATGTTGAAGCGGTTCGGCGGTGGTGGGGGGCCATTATACCTAGGTTTCACTGGAAATTCAGATAAGAAACACAAGTATTGTTACAATTTATAGAAAAAGAGTCAAAGTCGTGTTAGCAAGGCTTTGCTGAGAGGTTGCTAACCCTGAAGTACATTTTCAGTTAAAGCTTAAATGAAGACTTATAAAGTAAAGGAAGAGTAAAAACCTTTTGTCTTTTCTTTGCGGTCCTTCTTACGTCTCAGCATCGCCAACATAGGATCCCCTTCTCTTTCTTGCTCTCTCAACATGCGGTCCAGGTCCTCATCGTCATAGTGACGCGCCAGAGGCTTTTGGGCTTCGAGCACCGCATCCTCAAGTTTCTGCTGCTCCATCTGGCTCTGAGCCAACCTACACACACGTACACACACTTTAACGCTAAAATGTCAAATCTGCAAAGCAAGCCGTCTCAAAACATTTTTCATGCCTCTTAACAACGTTCTAACTTAGTACAGGTGTATTTTGTGGAGATTAAAGCTAATGGATTTGTCCTCAGCCAATAACACGGCTCGGTCGCAAACCAACAACTGGACCATCTGGTTGTTGATCGCACCGAACCGCCGCACTTCCCTGGGTCCTCTATTCATCACACACTCACGTGTTTAGCAACAGGACACCACCGGTGTGAGAGGTTCTCCACTCAGTAACATCAGAGAAGGAGAAACAGCTGCTTCAACTTTAGAACAAACTACCAGAGTCCCAAAAGGAAAAACACCATTTGAAGTCATGGACAACAAAAGACGTTTAGAAAATGGCGACTGGTGTTAAGCGCTATCTGGTTTGGTTCGGCAGTGCGAGTTCTGGTATCCGGTGGATGATAGCCTACAGGAGGGGTGAGAGTTCTGTGACTGTTTAAAAGCTAGCTTGTTCGTCGATTTGCTGTTGCAGCTTTAAATAGTGAAACGATTCACCCATTAGTGTCTTTTCAGTGCTGCACTCACCCTTTTCCCCACTGAGCATATTTCTCATCCTTTACTGCTTTCTCTTCAGCTTTTTTCTTCTGATCTTCTCTTTCCAAATCCAAATCTCTCCTTTTACCTCTCTTGTCTCGAAACACAGTCTGGGCACCGCGGGACTGATCTAGTCCAATCAGAGCCACAAGAAAGAAATACAAACACATAATTTGAGTATTGACTTGTTTCATTATGACATAAAAAATATAGTTTGTCTTGAAAAATGTGTGACGCTGATGAAAAAACACTTTACAAGTCCTCCAGTTTGGGGGTGTAAATGCTACCTTCTAGCGGCTGGTTGCTTCTGTCTCTGCGCCGGTTTTCCTCCTTTTCTTCCCTCAAAACCTCAATAGAAACAAGACCTGCTTTTCCACCAGAAAGCATCCTCGGACCCTGTTAAAACATCTTTTTTTAAAACCTGCAGCCATTTTGTGAGAACTTTTGAAAAGCACTCCTGCCTCACTTGTGAAGCTCCAGCTCTACGAGGTGGTGACAAATCTCCATCCGAGTCCTTTCCAGTCCGTGGCCTCCTCCTGGGTGGAGACTGGTCAGAGTCAGGAGACTGGCTGAATTTTGAGCGTCTTCTCGGAGGAGACTGGTCTGAATCGGAAGGCTTTTTCTTCTGGGGCTTTTTTCGTGGAGGTGACTGATCAGAGTCTGAATCGTGCCTCTTCTGACTCCTATCAGCTTGCGGTGAAGAACGATGATCTGGGCATGGTTTACTTGGTATCGAAGAGCTGGGCTTTCTTCTAGTGGGAGATGAATCTGGAAAATAGAAAACACAGATATGTTTAACAAAAATAGGGTATTAGTCAGGAAAATGATGATGTTAAACACACTCATTGAACACAGTTCAATGGACTACCACGATATTAATTTGTTTAGAATGAACTGCGTTCCATTTACCAGATGTCCATTCTCAGAAGGTTGGATATTTTTGGGGAGATTCTTCAGAAACCTAAACTGTTATCACCCGTCGGTTTTAAAATATTTAGGTTAAACAACAGAAAGCCTAAATTCTTCCACAGCTGATGGGGGCCAGGCTGAGGAGGATGCTGTCCTTGTCCATGAGATGGTACTGATGTTCTGGGAGAAGAAGACAGCTACATAACCAATGAGGATGGTGGTAGAGGAGGTGGTTGAGGTCTAGAAGTAGCTGGGTGACACCATCAACAATCAACTGGACTGAAGAGCCAAACTAGAGCTGTACACAATAAGGGGGTGGGTATTCCATGTCTTCAATCAATCAATCAATCAATCAATCAAAGCTTTATTTATAAAGCACCTTCCGCAACCCTGTCAGGAAGCCCAAAGCGCTTGAAGAACCTCTGGTGGTTTGAGGCTCTTTAACAGTTGTAGCTGGTGATCTGCACTTTGTTGATGCTTATTGATAGAGCATCATTGAAACCAATACCCAGTAGACTGAAAAAAAAAAAACTTGTAATTAAGGCTGCCTCTGTTTTTGAATGCAGGATGCACATCAGGGTTTTTCCTGGCTCAAACTGAGGCAGAGGTGGTACCATCCTGAACGTGCGCCAGCACATGCGTACTCTGTGCATTCAACTGCCTCACTGTTTTAAAGGCTAAATATTTTGTCGTTAAGTGTTCTAATCTAAGCTTCTGTTGACTAATTGAATATTCCATTTGACAACGTTTCAAGTGAAACTAAACTGGTTTGCTGCTAAAAAATATGAAATAAAACAAAATGATCAGGCTGAAATAACATACTCTTATTATGAAAGGCTCAATAATATGCATTAGATTGGTGTTTAGTTCCTTTTTCCCATTTGATATTTATAGTTAAATATCTTAAAATATTAATAACACTCATCTTAGTCACAATAACACATAAATATGTGCAGTAAAATATAATGCCTCGTCTCGTCTCGTCTTCCTCCGCTTATCCGGGTCCGGGTCGCGGGGGCAGCATCCCAACTAGGGAGCTCCAGGCCGTCCTCTCCCCGGCCTTGTCCACCAGCTCCTCCGGCAGGACCCCAAGGCGTTCCCGGACCAGATTGGAGATGTAACTTCTCCAACGTGTCCTGGGTCGACCCGGGGGCCTTCTGCCGGCAGGACATGCCCGAAACACCTCCCCAGGGAGGCGTCCAGGAGGCATCCTGACCAGATGCCCAAACCACCTCAACTGGCTCCTTTCGATCCGGAGGAGCAGCGGTTCTACTCCGAGTCCCTCCCGAATGTCCGAGCTCCTCACCCTATCTCTAAGGCTGAGCCCGGCCACCCTACGGAGGAAACTCATTTCGGCCGCTTGTATCCGCGATCTCGTTCTTTCGGTCATTACCCAAAGCTCATGACCATAGGTGAGGATTGGGACGTAGATCGACCGGTAAATCGAGAGCCTGGCTTTCTGGCTCAGCTCCCTCTTCCCCACGACAGATCGGCTCAGCGTCCGCATCACTGCAGACGCCGAACCAATCCGCCTGTCGATCTCCCGATCCCTCCTACCCTCACTCGTGAACAAGACCCCGAGATACTTATATAATTATATAATGCATTTCATTAATATGCATTTGTATCAGAAATGGTAATAACATTTAATTTTGGCTGCTAAAAATGTAATGGTGGCATGTCTATTATGTACGGGTTGGCAATAATCCAGTTCAAATTATGTTGAAAGATAGAAGCGTCTGTTAATTATATACTACAACGGCTTGCCATAGCCGTTCCATTCAATTCAAAGATACTTTATTAATCCCAGAGGGAAATTAGAGTTTCAGTACACACAATTCTGAGATCAGACATACATACATAGGCATAGACACATGACAAGAATTGGTGACTGTGGTCATTCGCGACCCGGAGGGTTTACATAAGGATTGGGTCAGGTGGAGGGAAAAAAGGCACTTCAGAGACAGGGAGGGCAGCTTTGCTATGCAAAAAAACACCTCAGACAGAAATGCAACAGACTTCAGACATTACACAACATAAGTGTCCACTAGGTGGGGTGGTAGGGTCTGGGACTCTCCACACATCAGTGCATGCAGCCGCGATAAGCAGCGCTCGTCACCTCCGTTTGGACAGGGGAAGGAGGTATGTGGGTTAGAGGGCACAGTGACTCCTGGAAACGATTCAATGGCCTTCACCGGTCGCAGTCCCACCCAGGGTGGGATAGGGAGACAGAGTTACCATGGCGACTGCAGCATTGTGGCAGTAATGTGACTCGTATCTGCAGCGGTTCTGATCCATAGCGCTGCAGGATGCAGAATAAACAGGATGGTGGGGACTTTTCATCCGCTTGTAGATTTTAGTCTTTCTTAGTTTTACCATCATATATTTTTCTGTGCACCACTTGATCGTGAGACTGCTAACCGTTAGCTTTAGCATTAGCCAATCTGCGTGTAGCTGCACTTTTGATCCCAAACTTTGGACCGGTTCTGCCTTTGCTGGTTCCTGTATTTTCCTCCACTGCATCCAGATGACCACACTGCGCCGGTAAAAAGCATTTTTCTTACACGCAACTAACTTTGTTCAATAAAGTTCTGGGGAAAATAGTAATTCAAAGATGTTGCACCAGTGCTACGTTTAAACATAGACAGACACGCACAGACAGTTCTTTTCGTCACACTGTACAGCTCTGCTCTGATATGGAAGAGCCTGGGGGAAAATCAGGATGTCAATAACACCAACCATAGATATGTAACTAGCGAGAAAAGCAGTTTTTGATCTTCTTTGTCTGCAGTGGTTTTAGTGCTTTTCGGTGCGCCGCTGCTGATACAGCGCCCCTGTAGGGGCGTAACGCTGCAACTGCAGTTAAAATAACACCCATATAGCTGGGGGCAGAGTGAAATCAGGCTGGGGCGGCCGAATTTGAATGCAGGAAAAACCCTGAATATGCTTCAATCAGTGGTGGAGAACAGGATGCTAAAACAAATGCCTGTCCATGAGAGACACAGAAAAAAACGTTTATCACTCACCTTTATATCGGCCCTTTCCTGATTTCCCTGAATGCCCTCTTGAAGGTGACAAGTCTGGAGAGTCGTGGCGACCTCTCCTTGGAGGAGATGTGTCCGGAGAGTCATGTCTTGCTTTTCTGATGGGAGAATTGTGTCTCATGTCTTTTGATGACCTCTCCGGTGAGTCTTGGTGAATTTTGCTAGATTCCAAAGACTCTACACGTTCCCCCGTTGTTTCATCTTCCTCGTTCTCATCAGCTACAGGGAAGACTAGATGATGATTTTCTTAAACAAAGGAACAGATTTTGTTTGTGTTTCACGTTTACCTCCAACTATTTTCCATCTGTTGCTGGTCCTGAAGACTTCCATCTGTTTCACCTCCTCTGGTCGCTCGTCAATGAATTCAGCAATCTTAGTGGGCACACAAATTTATCCATATTGCATTTCCATAACATTTGAGGAAACATCACTCATTAGAACCTTCTAATAAATAAAAGTTTGTGTTTTTTTGTCTCTGTTTATGTCAGAATTCAGCTTTTTTTCCCTCCTGGATTATATGGACAGATTACGCAAAAAGATTTTTTTTCCACAAATTAAATTATTATTTGTTGCAAGAAAAAAAACTATAATTTTGCACTTGTTTAGCCCTGTTTATAGTGCAAAATATCTTCCTCTTGATCTTTTTAAACAAAAATTATTAAAATGGCACAAAAACATTCTAAGTATTTTGACCCACTTGGGATCAAGTTTTAGTGTCTAAAAACTTGTGAATACACTTTCATAAACTCAACCCAATGTATGGAGTCTAAAACTGAACGCCTGTCTTAATATTGCCAGAGATTACTGAAGGGAGAGATTTGCTTTAAAAGCGTTTGAATCGAATTAAGGTCTTTCGAAAAAGCTAACGTTAGCTAGCTGTTTACCACAGGAGCTTCTTCTTCTTCCTCCTCTTCAATCTCCTTCGGTTCTGTGACCATCTGTCTCCAGTCTATATCATCATCTACTATTTTAAGTCTGAAATAAAAGGAAAATAATAAATGTCACCAAGTAACAAAAAAGCGATAACTGACACAGTGACTAGCGAAACAGCTAGCATACAAGTGAAAAGAAACTTTATAGAACTCTCTCACAAACTCACCCTTTTTCAGGAACTTTGCGTCGTTTCTTTTTTATCTTTCCTTTTGATTTACTAGCATCTTCGCTGGCTGACAGATAACGTTTGAGGTACTCAGCTTTAGAAAGCTCAGCTCCTTTACTGACGCCATTGGAGGCAGCCATGTTGACTGTTGTCCGAAACTACGGATAGCGCGGAGGATCAAAAGGGGTAAACCGCTCCACCATCCTTGTTATGGTATATATTTTTCTTTTTAAAAAATACCACAAGAGTCATAATCTGGCTTTTGTTGTAAAACTGAAAATACTCAATTGCTAAACAAGCCGCTTATCTTTTTGATGTAAAAATGGATGAGCTATGGCTTGATTTTCCATCTAATTTTTGCTAATAAATAAAATAAAACAAATAGAAAAATAAAACGAATAATTAACACTGACAAACAGACATTTTTTCCCTCATTTTGGACACAAAAGCATCACATTAACAAGTGTTAATTTTGATAATAGGAGTCTTTCATCAGGGAACCAAATCAGTAATTAAAAAAAATAATACAAATAATAATAAAAAAAAACAAGTGGTCATTTGATTCTTGTTTGGAAATACAAATGATTAAAACAAATACAATTCAATTTTGTGTGATAAAATAAGGATGGCACAGTAAAACAATATTAGATTTTTTATAATGAAAAAAAAGAAGAATTAATGTTTACTTTAATTCTATTTGCAGAAACAAAGACGACATTTGTTATCACCATCACCATTCTGTCAGTGCTGTAGGAGACATGCTTTAGCTCCATTTAGAAACTGACTCTACTCGATAGACACTGAACACGTTATTGTTCCCAGCAGTAACTCAAAAGTAGTGATGATTTAAGATCTTTAGCTTGAGGAACTCAGTGATGTCATCATAATGATTTATTTAGGCCCTGGATCTGTCTATCTCTCTCTCTCTGACACACACACACACACACACGCACGCACGCGCGCGCGCACACACACACACACACACACACACACAATGTACTTTGATGTTTTGCATCTTTTTTATTTGTTCTTATCATATTTTAACAAGTTTTTGTTGCCTCCTTGTTGCACCTTTTTGTATTCATTATTTATTTGCTACCTCATTAATGACTGTAACTTTATCTCGTGGTGTATGGTGGCTCAATCACAACCTCATGTAGCAGCTGCTCTGTAGAAACATTTGTTTAGATCTGTTTTACACACTTAAATAAAAACAGCAAAATGGTCCAATTTTACCCCCAATAAGTTTAATGTACTTTAGTTTTAAGCCATTAAGAATTGTGCAGTTCAAATCACTTTTATATAAAAGTGATTGAATGTCAAAGCTCTCAGACTCATAACCCAGATTATCACACAACTCTTTCAGTTCCCAACAAATCCTCTGAGACCTAAAAGACATGGCACAAAAGTAAACAAACAAAGTAGTCACAGCAAGTTTACCAACAAAAATATCCATTTTCATGTAAATAGGAGCAATTATGTGCCAGAGAGTTGTTTATGGAGTAGATCTGGCCGGCTGTGTTTCCTGATCCTTCCACTCCTTAAAGGTTTTTTCCACTAACTTCAGAGATCATGGCTGAAACAAACAGAAAAATGAACAGGTTGAACATTGATGACCTCAAATATTTCTGCCACCCTTAAATGCCACTCATAATAACACCTGTTATATCACTGTAAATCACCTGTAAGAACATACTGCTGCAAAATGGGCAGAAAACAGGATTAAAATCCTATCTTTAGAGCCTAATTAGTCCATTTGAGAGCATTGTTTGTTGCTTTTACTCTCAGATGTTGCTCTGGTCTCTTTTGCAAAACAATGTTTACACTCAAAAAGTCAGTCTTTTCATTCAAGTGTGTTCTACTTGCCCTCAAACGGTCTCTTCTGCTCTTAAATTCATTCAAATATCAATGGAGTTTTAGATCCTTCCTTCTGTGCTTGGACCATTTCTCTGAGACCCTTAAACCCGATGTTTGTTTCAGTGCTCTTGATTGAAAAGATGTGATCTCGTCAAAAGTAATTTTACTGGCCAACGAGCTCCTCAGTCTTCTTCTGGGTGTTCTAAAATCCTCAGTGCTTATCCTGCTCGACCTATCGGCTGCATTTGACACTGTCAACCATGGCTTCCTTTTGTCCACACTCTCTAGCATGGGCATCACAGAGAAAGCACACGCCTGGTTTGAATCGTACCTCACAGGACGATCATTCAGTGTATCTTGGCTTGGACAATCCTCTACCGTGCACCACCTTGCCACAGGAGTCCCCCAAGGCTCTGTACTAGGACCTCTTCTCTTTGCCATATACACCATGTAAGGTTATGAAGTTCATGGTTTTCAACATGGAGTTGAAAACCATGAACTTCATAACCTTACAACCACCTCACTGGGTGAGATCATTCGATCACATGGCTTCTCCTACCACTGCTATGCAGACGACACCCCGCTCTATCTGTCATTTCCACCGGACGACCACACTGTCTCTGCACGAATATCAAACTGTCTCTCTGACATATCAAAATGGATGAAATCCCACCATCTCCAACTCAACCTCTCTAAAACTGAACTACTTGTCATCCCAGCAAAACCATCCATACAGCACAATATCTCAATCCAAAATGACTTCCTATCTCTGGCTGCTTCAAAGGCAGTTCGAAATATGGGTGTTGTGATTGATGAACACCTGACCTTTAAAGATCATGTTGCCTCTGTTGCTCGTTCATGCCGCTTTGCGCTGTATAACATACGAAAGATCAGACCATACCTAACACAACATGCCACCCAGCTCCTGGTGCAATCTACTGTCATCTCCCGCCTCGATTACTGCAATGCCCTTCTAACTGGTCTTCCAGGCTGTACTGTGAGACCTCTTCAAATGGTCCAGAACGCAGCGGCGCGTCTGGTCTTCAATCAGCCAAAAAGAGCACACGTCACCCCTCTGTTCATTGAGCTCCACTGGCTACCGCTAGCAGCACGCATCAAATTCAAATTGCTAACACTAGCATACAAAGTCCGAGATGGTACGGCTCCCATTTACCTGAATCCTCTTGCAAAGGCTTACGTCTCAGCCCGGCCGCTCCGGTCATCACAGGATCATCGGCTAGCAGTGCCTACACCACGCTCAGGACAATCCAGACTCTTCTCATGCATCGTTCCACAAATGTGGAATGACCTTCCAAGCACTACCAGAACAGCGGCTTCCATTTCAATTTTCAAGAAACTCCTGAAGACCCTGCTCTTCAGAGAGCATCTTCTTAACTAGCACCTTGCCTGCACCTGTCCCCCCTCTCTACTGTCCACTCCTTGTTCCCTCCTCTCCATGATTGATGTTAAGTTGTTGTTGTTGTTATTGACTACGTTTACATGCAGCCAATATCCGGGTTATGATAGGGTCAAGGTCGGTATTCGGGTTTCTGAGTTGATCACAATAACCCATTTACAAGCATAAATAGAAAGAGTTACCCCTAACTTGCATAACCCGATTTAAATGCGGATGCTGGGGTAGCGTCAAGACGTATGGACAACGTCCAGACGCAATATGCGTCATTTCCGGTTCTTCTTGTTCCGGTATCCGTGAAAACAACAACATGTTTCCCAGTTCGGAAGAGATAGCGACCGCGTTTGTTTGCGCTTTAGTTTCTTTGTCACTCCAAAAGCGTGGTGCTGTACCGCGACTCGCCATGTTGCTCCCGACTTGTTGTTTACTTCCGGTGTTCTGGTGCATACAAGACGTCTCGCTACTCAAAAGACCAAGATTCCTTGTGAACAGAGCATGCACAGAACACACGCTTTGTGTCACGGTCTGGGGGTGTCATCTTTCTCTGATTTACTTTTTGAGCTTCCTTTCCTCTGCAGGTGGGTGTGTCCGGTTGTGGGGAAGTTGCTAGCAGCTGCAAGCAATCCACTCATCACCTGCCAGGGGATATTTAAGCACCTGAGAGGCGGCTTCACTTTGCTGGATGATTAACTCTACTTGGGTACTCAACTAACAGCCGAACAACTTGTATCTCCTAGTGATTTGACTTTTATCTGGATTTTGAGCTCTTCATGATTTTTGACCACTTGTCTTCCTACCTTTTCACCCAGACATCCTGTTACAATTACTACCTGGTCAACCTGCCATTCGCCTCTCAGCGTCCTCCCATGGTCTCCCCCACGCCGGCTCCCCACCTTCCTCCTGGATCTCCTGCTCAGTAATTGCTCAGCTCCCTCCTCGCCTGGACTCTCAGCTTCCTCTAACTCAGTAAGCCATCTGCTTCACCCCCAGACCAGACAACCAACCTCTCCCGAACATTCTAACTGAACCTTCAGACCGTAAGTCTTAACTGATCCATTATTCCCATTTTTCTGCAACCAGTCCTGACATTTTTTCGTCCTTCAGACTCCCCCCACCGGATCCCAGCAGTCCAGCCTGACATTTTGTTCCTGCAATTTCTCCTTTATAATAAATCATTATTTAACTCTAATCCTGACTTGTGGATTGATTCTGTATGTCGTGGGTTAGGCATATACCACCGACCATGACACTTTGATGGGGAAATCCCGATATGCGTTTACACGACCAAACATTCGGGTTAGAAAAGGGTTACCCCAGGTGTAGTAACCGGGTTCCGGTTACGAGCATATCCGGGTTTTTGGCAGTGTTTACATGGACCTGCGGAACCGGGTTATTGTGAATATTCGGGTTTTAAAAGGGTTACTGGTTGCATGTAAATGCACTCATTGTTGTTGCTAGCCTCAAGGGCAATATGCCGATTATCATTTGAAAGTCGCTTTGGAAAAAAGCATCTGCTAAATACATAAACATAAACATAAACATAAAATCTCCTGCTAGCAAAAACGCAGCAGCCCACCCAAACCCACCTATTCTTCCACTTTGGTGTATGCACCGGCTGAGTTTGCAAACAAAACAAACACATTTCCTCACAGCTGATTAAAAAAGGCATTTGATGTATATTTTGTGTGTGTGTGGGATTAGTAAGAGTTTGTTTGCAACTGAGCTGGAAAATCATTTTTCAGCTGAAAGTTAGAGGGGAGTGATGAGTTTGAGGAGATTTGGATTTTGGTGAAAGGTTTATTTATTTTACAAAAACAGTTAAAGATAATAACAGCGGAGAGTCTTGTGTTTTAAAGCTTGAATAAACTCTCTGGGTTGAAGTGAACTAAAGTAGCTAAACTAAAGGATTAGTTCCAATAAGGTGAAAAATCACACAAAAAGTTAAATATTTTAAAAGTATAAAATGTCTGAACACCAGAAGTGGCTCCCACAAAGAACAGGACAAGCTGCTGAATATTATGATGTTTAACTTCCAGAAATATCACAGAAATTGCAGAACTGATGGTTTTTAAAAGAAAGGGAAGAAGAATAAATGGGTAACTCCAGTTTGAGCAATGATAAATAAAACTGATGCTACATGTCAGTTTGAGCCATTTTTGTGAGAAAAGAAAAATAGTAGCCTCCAAGTTAATAAGAATCACTTACTGTCCAGAAGACTTCTCATTGAGTTTCTCTCCTCCAACCTGCTGTGCACCTCGGCCATGAGCCATGGCATGAAATTCATCTCAATATCTACAAATCAGAACCACAAATGTTAAAAAATGCTACCCTAGACACCATGCAGTGGTGCTCACACGAGGCAGCACGGCGAACGCTCACCTCTCTCCACAGGATCATAAAAGAAGCCATCTCTTCTCAGAGAGCTGAAGACTGCAGGCAGGAGGCCAGCCAGGTACTGCTGGCTAAAAGCCCGAGCAGTGATCTTCTCTATGGTCTCCTTCTCCATCCTCAGCCTCTCCCTCTGCTGGGCAATTCGACGCTCCTGCGATACGTGCACATGCTTTTAAAGGGACTTCATTTGCACTCTTGCTTAAAGAATTGAAAAAAATATATTTACATTTTCATTGAGAATCTGTGTAAAATGTGTTAAAATAATGCAGAAGTAAGCACTTCCTAATATCATTTTCTAAAAAAACTATTTAGTGTGTGAAAAAAAAACTTTAAATGATATTAACAGATTTCATGTTTCAAAACGAGCTGATCCGTTTCATCAGGTCTGTGAACTTTTATGTTAATCAAATGAAATCTGATGATTGTGTCTCCCTGGCAACAAGCACGTCTCTCCAACTCACAAGTGAAATCCACATAACCACACATAACCATAGGCATTACATTTACTGACTGTAAAATATGCGGTTTGAAGAGTCTTTCTAGATGAGAAAATAAAACGTTAAACCAGACTCAGTTTCAGCAGAACTTCTCCTATGTTCTTGTCTGAACTCATCTACAGAAGAAGTCAAAGGTGGTGTTTGCATACTTTCTCCTCCTTGCGACGTCGTTCCTGCTCCTGGAGACGCTGCACCTCTGCCAGCTCGTTATTTCGGAGCTCTCTGAAGGCTCTTTGCTGTGCTTTCAGGGTAGCTAGCTCTTCCTCCTCCAATACCTCCAGTAGGGACTGTTCAATCGTTTTTCCCACCAGAAACTCCAAGACTGGCTGGACTTCACTATCAAAGTCAAACAACTGAAGAAGAACCCACAAAAGTTTTGGGTTTTATCAAACCAACAACACTTTTAATCATTTGCACCCTGTTCTATAACGAAATAAGCCATGTCAAATATGAAAATAGTAATAAAAATGTCTGCTAATGTATGCTGGTGCTGTGGTTCCCAAACGTCGGGACCCCACTGTGGGTCACTAAAAAATACACACGGGGTCTTGAGATGGTTTTCAAAAACAGAAAAATAACTAAATAGTCATAAATAGATTAAAATGAATCAGGGCTAAAGCGAAATATGTAGCTTTGTGTGTACAGTGGCGCCCCAGAAAAGATTCATGGGGTGGCCATGGGGCCAAAGAAAATTATGGGGTGGCGCACAAAATTGATCCTTTTGGTAAATCTGGAAAGTTTAGCCTGTAGTGATGCAATAAGTGCTCTGTATAAAATTTCATTAAAAAATAAACATTAATATGACTTATTAAAGAATATCGGTCTTTCCTGGGTGTAGACAGTGGGGTGGCCATGCCCACCCCTTGGGGGTGCCACTGTGTGTGTATCATTAAATCAGAGATATCTGAGATCATGTGTCTTGACTCTTTGTACTAGTGTGTGTATGTCGTAACTAGGGTTGGGAATCGTTTAATTTTGAACGATTCTGATTCCAATTCCTTGTTTCGATTCCAGTTCCTTTCGATTCCCGATTCAGATTCTTTCAAGACATGACATGTTTTACATGAGCCAGCTAACCACAGGTCCTACTTGATGAAACAATCTTAACTTCAACATGAATTTTAATTCTATGAACAATAACATCACCTTCATTTAGACAAAAACCTGTTTTGGAGACAAAAAGAAAAAGACTTGCAGCACAACCAGTGTGTTTGTTTCTGACCACAACCAAAGTCTGGAAGAAGCCTCTGGGATGAGAGGCTAAATGTCTCCAACGTATCCAGAAACGTCCAGCTGTTTTCAGCTAAAACTCTCAGGATGATCATGTCCAGGATGACTGAGAACTACACCTCCATGCTGCTGCAGCGTTCAGTCGGAACAGGAAGTGAAACTTAAACGTAGCTGCTGTCAGTAACAATCTAACAGATTTTAAACATTAAAACTCAACAGAAACAGTTCAGAAAGGAACTTAAGATGTTCACAACTTTGTGTGTGATTTATTATTATTAATATTATTATTATTATTAATTGTGGCAGAAGCTGGTGTGGTCCACCCGAGAAGCTGCTCTAGCATGATGACCTTAATTATTATACAGGTTATTGTTGAGCCTGCTGATGCTCTCTCTCTCTCTCTCTCACACACACACACACACACACACACACACACACACACACACACACACACACACACACACACGCTGACGCTCCGTGTGTGTTTTTATTTCTGCAGTGAGACAAACACCTCACACCGTCCAGAGTTTGTTCTTTAAAGCTTCTATTAAATCCACCGTGTTGACGTCTTTTAACAAGTTCCCTCTACACTGCAGGAGTTAAAGTTTACATTACGGAGTAAAAGTTCAGCAGACGCATTTAAGGCACACGGTGCTGCTCACAGACAGCTGGTGTGATCAGCTCTGAAAAGCGTTGATCAGAATTTGCAGATCACGTTTATTTTTCATGGAGATCGGCCGCAGATTCCTCTTCCGGTAGGCATTCCAGGAATCGAAAATAGGAATCGAAATAAAAACTTTGAACGATTCCGGGAAAAACTAACAGTTGGAACCGGTTCCAATCGATGCTCGATGCCCAACCCTAGTTGTAACTGCATCTACCCACCTCGCCGTCCTCTATTTGGGTTTCAGCATCTTTGCCAGATTTGGTAGGTATATAGAGTGGAGTTTGTGGTCTGTCTATGAAGTCATCCGTCTGACACTCAATGTCAGTAGTTGTGATGACATCACTCAGTTCCTCAAGGTAAAGCTCTGAAAGCAAAGTTTATGTAGATACATATTTCCAAGAGGTCACAGGTTCAGGCTAGGGGTTTGGGGTTTACCTGTCTGGACATTAGTATGTAGTCTGCCCTGAAGCGGTTTAGGAGTCCCAGGTTCAGCCTGCACTATAGCTTGTTTACGAGCAATCGCCGCCTGTCTTCTGATACCAGCAGAGGGTTGCTGAGCTTTCTGTCAGTAGGGGAAATAAAATAGAGGTAAAAGCAAACAACAAATAAAAACACATAAATGGGTGATTCATACATACTGTTGGTATGGTATGCTGAGCATGGCGTCTGACAACTCGGCGATCATCCATAATGTTATCATAATGGCGTTGTGACCTGTATTAACACAGAAAAGGCAAATGCAAACCTTTCATTAGCACCTGAACTAGGTGAGCTCTTCCACGTGCTTGGCTGATGCACCGCTTGTTGCTGATAAGGTGTTTGACATGAGGGAGTGGGTGATGCTGTGGGTGATGCAAGAGTAAACACAGTTTTTACAAGCACAGAGAAGTGGTTTGTATGTAATAACATGATTATCAGAAGTGAGGCTAAACGTTAAATTACACCAAAAGCTGCTTTTTATAAATTCTTGTGTGTTCATAGAATTTAGGGGGAAAAATTCAAATAAACTGAAAGAATTTTGTAGAAACAGAAGAAAATTGAAATTTTCACAGTGAAACAATCTCCTGCAGACATTGCTCTCCAACGAGACAAATAAATCCAACGTTGTTTGCAAAATGGCCTGTAGAGTTAGCATGCTCAGTTTTGCTACTTAAGGTTATTACCGTAAGACAATAAAAAGTCTTATGGACTTCATTTAAACCAAAAAAGCACGTTTAGGAAGTTTGAACTTAGGTTTTGCTAGTCAAACATTACCAGCACAAACGTACAGAATGACCGGTCGCAGTGGAGTCTCTTTGGGCTTGGAGCAGCTCTCCACGGGTCTGGGACGACTTGAGAATATGTACAACCCGTTCGGGTCCACGCGGCTTTGAGAAACGCGATCCATCCTTCTGAAACTGGCTGCTAACGCTAATAGTTAGCGTACGTGTTTGAAAGTGACAACTTAGCAAAAGGTTGCCGTGGTAACAGCTGTAGCAGCCGTGACGTCTCTAGGAAAACAGGTTAGCGTGCGTGACGTCACTTTCTTCTTCTTCTTCTTTTTTTAAACAGGTTTTATTAACTTGTTGTCAATACATTCAGAAAATACATTCAATATATCCATGGATCACATTTTACAGTTGTTTACAATTGCAATAACATACATGCATCATTAGGAAACTATTAAACAAAAAAAGAAATAAACAAAAAACTGACGAAAACATAAATAACTTAGAAACATAACACTTAGGGGTCTGCTGTGTCTAAGTTGAAATGATGAAATAAGTTGATGGTCTTTGTTAGTTTATTGTTCTTCTTTTTTAATTTTTCAATGCTGTTCCAATATTTCATAAGGTCTGTAATTCTGAAATTATAGAAGGAGGGGATACTTTTCTGAAAAATAATTTTATGTAAATAATATTTTGCTAAATTAATGACTAAGTTAATTATGTATTTTTCATTGGATGATAAATGAGGGTTAGTAACAATTCTTCTTCTTCTTCTTCTTCTTCTTCTTCTTCTTCTTCTTCTTCTTCTTGTTTATTGGCGGGTGGCAACCAACTTCTAGGTGCATTTCCGCTACTTTCTGTGTGGGAGTGTGAGTCGTAATAGGGAGAAACTGTTCTAATTAAATTCTATTTATTAAATTACTAGTCTTTAAAAATTCAATTAGTAATTTATAAACATCTAATCCTCCAATAAATATATTCCTCAAATTCAACTTTTCATTATCTTTCATCTTTAATTGTCTAGATAATATTTTCCTATTCTTTATATACTTGTCACATTTACACAACACATGTTCTACCGTTTCTCTATCCTTTCCACAACTACACATTCCTGCATTATGTTTTCCTATCATAAAGAGTGTACTGTTTAAACCCGCATGCCCCATTCTCAGTCTTGAAATTTTCATTTGATTCCTATTACACATTGGAATGTTTTCCATTTTACCCACTCTGTCCCTTTTATATAGATGTCTTCCCTTTTCCACTCTTATCCAATGCTCTTGCCATTTTTCCATAAGTATCCTTTAATTTCTGCCATGCTATATGGGATGTCCACCACATCATTCATTCGAGTAGCTTGTTTAGCATAAAAATCCGCCATTTCGTTGCCCTCTACCCCCCTATGAGCTGGAACCCACATAAACCTAACAACATAATCAATCTCATGTAATCTGAACAAACATTCATATATTTCATATAAAATATCCCTTCTTGTAGCTGATGACAACGTACTGATTGACGTTAATGCCGACATTGAATCTGAACAAATAATACAATTCCCAATTCTGTTTTGCTCTATCCACTGTAAACTAAAAGAAATAGCTAACATTTCCACTGTATAAAATGACAAACCATTGGGCGATCTACTCTTATTATATATATCTAAACTTGGAACCCAAAATGAAAAACCAGTTAAACCCTTATTCAACTCATTTGAACCATCAGTATAAATCGGAAGGAATGTACCATAAGACTCCTTTAACCTATGTGCCACCATAAAATCCCAATTCCCTGTCCCTTTCCGTTTAAAAATTTCATTCAGAATAAAGAAATCTACATAAACTTTTGGAAACAGCCAAACAGGAGTATCTGAGTATAAAAATTTATTATCCAGTACTTAATCATACAACTTCAGTACCTCCGCTAATGTGCATGATTTCCCTATTGCACTCTCATATTTCCTATTACCATAAGGTCCACCTATTATTATCTCTTCTTTTAACATATGTTCATTCCCTTCACTTCCCTGCACACTCGCCCATTAATTAAGTTTCAACAAGTCAAATCTTAATTGTGAAGGCATCTCCCCCATTTCAACCTGTAACAAAACTATCGGAGTAGTTTTCATTGCATTCTTCACATTTCCTCCTTTTAGATTTGTTTTTATTTCCTCAATAGTTACATCCACAGGAATTCCCCATATAACCCCTTTTGGTCCATGCCCACCCATTCCCACTTTACTCACACTATCAACCTTGTTTTCCCACTTCTCTCATCTTACTAGCTTTTTTTCTCTGATTACATCACTTCCTTTACAAGCCATCACTGATTTAAACACACCATGATACTTTTCCTACTAATGTTAACTGTCTGCTGCAGATTTAACCAGTGATGATCTGAATGAAATAATTTTTGCAGCACATTAGTTGTGTTCTTGGGCGGTTTAGAAAAATTTGCCTTTTGTTATGCGTGAAATCTCGCGGTTTCCTGTTGTTTAGTATGGCTGGAGCATAGATCGTGGGAAAAACATGATTTCCATGTTTTAAATTCATTTTAATTGCAGAACAGTCATTTTGTGTTGTTTCTTTTAAATTCGTAAGGTTATCTGTGGCATACAAGTAGCTTATTATATATTTGTCTACATCAAAGTGAGGGTAAAGGCCTGGGTGGAGACTATGGCCTTGTTCGAGTTGAGTGGCGCCTTGCCTGGAAAACAGACTAGAGCAGACGGACGCAGCAGGGGGAGTGGCTGAAAGCCGGCGTTTAAGTCGGACAGATTTCCTTACATGTGTAGCTCGTGGATGATGATGGATGAAGATATTGCGTTAGCGTTCATACTTGTTTAATTATTTATTTCAGTTCTGGTGCCTGTTAACAACTGAAACACATCCTCACATGCTTGTGGATATCATATGTTGTATATGAAGATATGACTGTAATAATTAGTAAAGGTTATCAGCTGTAGCTTTAGTGTGCTCATAGGAAACGTGAGAAAAGAAAACAAAACACATTTCTCTTTATGGCCTAAATAGTTGTCATCATCAACGTAACGTGATTTACAGAATACATGTGACCAACTAACATCTCATGTTCTACCACCGAATGTTTAGATCAGAATGTGAACCAATCAGATCTTAGATCAGGTGAGAGCCAGGCATTTCCCGTCATGCTCTAGGTTTGGCAGCCGGTGGAGAGAAACTGCAGCGCCTTGTTCCAAAATCTGCGGCCACCTTGATCTCATGAGGTTATCGTTGCCTACGTAGGCATGACGTCAGAGCAAGTCGGCGTCAAGTCGGACACAAATCTAACTGGCAGGCACTGCGTGCAGATCACCGGTGATCTAATCTGCATAAAACTGGCTCATCTTGAACAAGGCCTATTCCATCCACACTTCCCGCTTTTGAAAGAGGCATCGCCTGGCGGACCGAGAGAGCGGCATTGATGCAGTGATAGACAGATTCCATTTTATTTTATTTTTATAAATAATCGAAATAAACTTTTCTAAATAATGTAAGTATTTATGTTAGACTGCTCTAACATAAATGTCACATATCAGAAGATTTCTAAAGCTTGTTAATTATTGTTATGAAAGTGTGTTTCTTCTACCCAATAGGGCTTGTGATCACACGTGATTACGCATAGCATTCTGGGATGTGCGCGGCCATGTTGGAAGGTTGATGAACGTAAACAAACTGTGAAACAAACGGTACTGTCACCGAGAAGAAACAGATTTGGGTGAAAGAAAGTGTTTAATAACATTATAAAATCCCAACAAGGACGCAGAATACACAGGGATACGTTAAATAAAGACGTTGGGGACCGGTATGTGGACAACATCAGCGTTATAACTGGTTTTGATCCACATGAAAGACCGAAGACTGGAGCACTGATGACGTATTGTTACCGCTGCAGTTCTGCATAATGGCGATTTTCGGCTTTTTTGTTTGTGGTGTGAGCGGATGTAAACGTCTGGATGAGAGGTAAACTTTTTATTTGTTAGTTTTTCTAGTAAAACAATCAAAATGGTCATCCTACAGAAGTGAAGCAAGAGATGTTGTGTGTGTGTGTGTGTGTGTGTGTGTGTGTTCTGTGTGCATGTCGCGGTTGAAGAAAAGAAATGATGAATAAAAAACGTACACCGTCTGTAATTTAGCAGAATAAAATTAATCCAGAAGGTGATATTTAGTCGACTTACAGCTGCGATCCAAGCGAGCCGGTGACACTTTGTTAAGCTAGACCATATGTGTCAGACACAAGGCCCGCGAGGGATTCAAGTGTCTTAAAATAAGTTTATGCCGCTTCAAAGTGCACAGTGACTGTAAACTACATTTCCCAAAATGCTTGGCGATTGTGTTCCCAGTTCAGTGACTCACCACTAGGTCACAGTGTATCCACTTCCATGTTTAATTCATGCAACAAATGAAAATAACTCCGCAATATCATCCCAAAAAGTCCAGGAAGAGAAAGACTGATGCAGAATGAAGGCATTTCAACAAAGATGGAACATGTTGATGCTTCAAGGAGAAAAACCGGTATGTCTTTACAGTCATTAGCGTCCATGCTACTAGCATCAGCGTCTGCAGCGTTACCTCCTCTGCTTCGGACAAACTGAAAACACTCCCCTTACTCAGCACCACGTTTACTAAGCAATTAGCTGACTTTGAAGCCCAGAAATGGATTTGAACTACTCAGTAATCTGTTTGCTGCTCACATAGAAAGTGCACCGACCAACTTCCAGAGATTATTTAACTCCAGTTTAGCAACACGCTCAAGTCAGTATGACTGTGGCTGCTGCAGCTTTTATCACCCTCCCCGACACATCTGCTTGGTCCAGATGCTCTCCATGTCCAGCAGCACAAACCTGTGTGAGCAACTGTTTCTCACTGATGAACTCCTTCCTCAGCTCAGAGCCCAACCCCACAGATGCAGGTCTGGCTGGAACAGTCAGGTTTATAAGCAAAATAATAATTCATTTTACAAACCATTAAGACTTGACAAATTGTTTAAACTATTATTTACTGTGAGTGGATGCGAACTAAGATGGTGTCTGGAACCTATGTGTGAATATTGTATTCAGAACCTCCGTTCTCAGAGCTGAGTTCTGGATTGAAAGAATTTGGTTTGCATAGAAGCTGTAAGATGTTATCAGAACCACATTCAGACGCTATCTCGCTGTGTCTACCTCACCCGTTCTGGAAGACCCCCGTTGGATCCGAGATGTCCCGGGGCCGACGACCCCACTGCACCTGGCTCGTAGAAAAACCTCGATGCGCCCAAATCAGTCCTGGGATGTCTCCCGGGTCACAACGATAGATGAAACCAAGCGTCTTTAAAAATAACTCTGAAGGAGTTTTGAGTCAGCTTTGTTCTGCAGGAAACTGTCTTGCTGTTTCAGCTTCGCAGGTGCGAAAAAGGTTTAAGGTTTTGACAACGTGTCAAAATCCTTCTGGTTAAAGAGGCCTTCGCTCAGATGGCCGGTCTGGAGCTTTTCTCTAGAACCCTCGAACTGTTGCGCTGTTCGAACTGTTTAGTCTGAAGTTGAACTGAGGGGAAAACCAGAGCTGGCTAGTTTTAATGGACTGATGTTATGATTGACTAACCAACCACAGGTTGACAAGTTTGATGACATTACCAAGCATCACAGAGACCCACCCTCTGTGATGGAGACTCTGAATGTGGGCAAAAGGTTAACTTATGTGTCATGCCTTAACTTAACCTTACTTGTGAGTGCAAATGTTATGACCTTGTCAAGTAAACATACTAAACAATCATTGAGCACAGATTAATGAAACATTTCATTATTTGTAATTAGCAATAACAAAAGTTCATTCAGGCTGCACAGTGGCGCAGTGGTTAGAGCTGTTGCCTTGTAGCAAAAAGGTCCTGGGTTCGCTTCCCAGCCTGGGATCTTGTTCTCCCTGTGCATGCGTGGGTTCTCTCCGGGTACTCCGGCTTCCTCCCACAGTCCAAAAACATGACTGTTAGGTTAATTGGTTTGTCTAAATTGTCCTTAGGTGTGTGTGTGTGTGTGTGTGTGTGTGTGTGTGTGTGTGTGTGTGTGTGTGTGTGTGTGTGTGTGTGTGTGTGTGTGTGTGTGTGCATGATTGTGTGTCCTGTGTGTCTCTGTGATGGACTGGTTTTTTGTCCAGGGTGTACCCCGCCTGATTGCCCATTGACCGCCGGAGATAGGCACCAGCCCCCCCCCCCCCCCCCCCCCCTCTGGGAATAAAGGAGTTTATTTTAAAAGAGTTCCTCTGTGATGGACCTTGGAGGAAAGATGTTATATACAGATTTTAAGGAATAAAATATAAAAATAAATTGAGACATAAATAACGAATACCACTGATGTGTGCTTTATTTAAAATGGACTTGCTCGTGTGTAATTTGGTTATTCCACATTCAGTGTTACTGCAAAAATAAGTTTGTTTCCAAATGAAAAGGCTCAACCGTTCATATCTGTAGATAAAGGAAAATGTGCACAATTACCGTCACTTTAAAAAAAAAATTCAGTTTGGTCCGCGACTTCATCTCAGTTTTTTCACCCAGTGTGAATTAGAGTTTGACACCCCTGGGCTAGATACTTGGTCTCCATGGTTTTGCCTCTAAGCAGGAAATGGCCACACACTAAAGGTCAAAAGTTAAAATTTGTCCACTCAAACATATAAAGACAAGTGCACACACACACACACACACACACACACACACACACACACACACACACACACACATTAACCAGGAATATGAGGCCATATTGGAAGGGTCAGTACACACATCTCTTTATTGAAATTAATTTGTAGCACGTTCATTTTTCTCTCATCATGAAATCGCAATGATTTTGTGCAGCAAAGCAAAAGGCCTAAGGAGAATTCTCATCTTTATGGAGGAGACACGTGCATGAAGGCAGAAGTGTTGTCATATCTGTGTGCTTCTGCACAAGCGTGTGCGTTATTTTCTTTTAGCTGTGTGTGTGATAGACAAGGAGAAGCAGGGACGTGATCCAGGACCAGGGGCTCTTCAGAAACATGCTCACAGCGGAACACGGTGCTAGATGGTCTGCAGGGGAAGAACAAAAGGAAAATGAAACTTCTTGAACTGATCTGATATTAACTCACCCACTCCCTCAGGTCACCACCCTCCACCTACCTCTTTCCACATTGATGCTCTCCACCTGCCCAGATATTTTACACATATAGGTGGTGTTGTGTGGGAGGGTCTCTGTGAATCCTTTGAGTGTCATTCTGTAGCCATGAGGATCCAGTTCCACCACTTCACTCTTGTCTCTGAACTGGGCCTCTGAAGCAGAACCAGACACATTAGTGTTGATGAGGGCCTCTTTGGTTCCCAGTGACCAGGAGAACTCGTAGCTGCTGATTTTGTTGGCCTTGGGCTCGATCTGGCAGTCCACTCTCAGGTCTCCGTCATCTTCAACGCAGACAGAGATCTGCTGGGACTGAACTGGCATCAGCAGCACTGGGACAAAACACAAATGTGTCATTTGGAAGCACTTTCATGAAGAAAAAAAAGTTTTAAAACTTTATTACCTCCCAGAACGCCACAAGCAAACAGAGACTTGAGCATGATGGAAAAGCAACCATCCAACTGGGAAAAGAAAACATATTTGAGTATGGAAGAATGATGAATACAAAAGTTCAATGCAAACTTTCTTAATTCAAAACAAAATCCCTTAGTTTCACTCACAAAATTCTATTATTCTGCTAAAAAAAAGATGCTTTCGCATCTAAAACAAATCCTGTTTGCTTGTAAATTCTGACTAATTTCATCTTTTTATTGTCAAGTACCTAGATTCTCCCTCACACTCAGACTGTGTGTACAAAGTTGCAGCCTTTTCTCCCTGCTCGAGGATTTCTGCAGCTCTATGTGGAAACCGCACCTGGTTGATGTTCTGGCCAATAGGGTGATGCTGTGGTCCTATGACATCACTGTCAGAAAGGGATCTTGGTTTGCTGACAGGCCTAGTTTATCATTCTTCATCAGCTCTGGTGCACGGTGTCACATGCATTGATAATCTCGTTTTAATCTCAGACTTCTCCGTTGCCTGGGAAATGATAAATGACCTGCACTTGGATAGCGCCTTTCAGAGTCAGAGGATTCCAGAGCGCTTTACATGACAGTGTATCACTCATGCATTCACGCATACATTCACACGCTGGTGGTGATGAGCTACGATGTAGCCGGAGCTGCTCTGGGGCGCGCTGACAGACAGCACAGCAATTCTCCACCAGGGTGTGGTTCTGCTACCATTGCAGTCATGTCTCTGGTCCATGATGGTGTACTTACTATTGCGTATGTGTATTTGCATTATGTCTATGTACTTCAGAGACGTTTTAGAACAGACACATTTGTCCCTTGATCCCACCCCACCTCTTTACAAAGACGCTCTCTCCAAACCCCGGTGCGGCGCCTCTTTGCACTCCTTTGCTTGAGGTTAAATGTTCCTGTTGTCAAGCTTCTTCCAAACGAGTATTGGCTGCTAGATATCTTTGGCACTTGTTTTTATTTATTTATTTATTTGTTTATTTGGGGGGTGGGGTACTTGAGACATTTAAAGGTGTGGAACACTGAAATTACATTTCTGATTACAATCGATCACTGAGTTTTTCATGCAGGCTGAACATGAAAATAGTCTCCTACACCTATTTCCTGCAGATAGAAAATAGACGATGAAACTCTAGGATTAAAAAATGCTGACAGATCTACATCACACTGTCACTTAACATTCGTGGACTCATCCATCTTGACTCACAACAGGGAAGGCTGTTGTTGGTTTAGCGTCCAGGAAACAGCAGATAATGTCTCAGCTAGTAGAAGCTAACTGTTAGCATTAGCAGCTTCACCACACAGCAGAACTCCTACAGGCTTGTGTTAATTGTGGAGACAAAACATTAATATAGCAGAGAAAACAGAGTCAGTGGTAGAGTCATGTTGCTATTAGCCAATCAGAGGCAAGATGTCCAAATATCAGGAAATAAGACTCCAAAACCCGCCGTCTGAAGCTCAGCTGTGATGTATGTGACTCATGTCTAACTCCTGGAAATGGTGCACAGGTGTTTATTGCCCCCGAGTACGACTCACAAGGCATTCATTCCTTCTAGAGACCACTGCAAATGTATCAATTAAAAAGTGTTCCACACCTTTAAAATAAGTGGCATCCTGACCAATCACACGCTTGCACTAGAGGCCTTGCATCAACGCATCATGGCGTTGTGTCGCTTCGTTGCTGAGCTTAATGGAGAAGTGTAAACTAGGATTTAGCAACTTTACTTCCCTGCAGAGGGACTATTAGTGGAGCTCAGCAAAAGGAACATCCTTGTAATTTAGTGTAGCAGTCTTTTAAAACAATGTATGTAATTTGTTTAATTAACAAACACATGTTCATTTACCCTAAAGAAGAAAAAAATGGTAAATGCCTGATAGATGAGAACGTTTTGGAAGAAATAGCAACCCTGAATACAGCTGAGTGTGCGGGGAAAGAACTTAAACAGGAGTTTAGGATGTTTGGAGCAGCATCATAGCTGAGAGCAGAAACAAAATGTTGCTATTATACTTTTATTGTGATAACATAAGGTTGATTAAAAGAGTAATTTTGTGTTAGTGAAATGAAAGAATCTCACTTTCAAATAGTAAATATGCTTTCTTCTTTTGAGCTTAGAATTTCTCCATCAAAGTAAATAAAAAAATAACCTGATACACTGATTCATCCTGTTCTCTCCAGGCAGCTTTGAGGTCATTTAGGGTGAGGTTGTGTTGCTATTTATAACACAGGCAAAGGAAACAGAATCAAACGCACCAGTTTATCAACCTGTGGCCAAAACAGAGTTGAAACCTGATTTAAATTAATATTTTCATGCCATAGAGATCTCTCAAGCCGGCTCATGAAATCCAAGTAAAGCCTTCTTAATGGAAGTTCTAATATTTTCCTTCTCTTTTCAGCTACAGAGCACATAATCTAACATTAAGCCCCTTTCCGGTACACTCATGTCGTTTTGATGTGACTGATCCTCATGTTCTTCTAAAAGGTCTTACCTCCTGTCAGGGGTGAATGATGCAGCAGCTTCCTCCAGCTCTAGCGGGGTGGTGGGGTAAACAGCTTCCTCCGTGTGCAGCACCGCACAGCATCACACTCCTGAGAGGAAGTGGGAGCCGTACAGAGAGGAGGAGGAAAAGTGGGAGGGAGAACGGTGGACCAGAGCGTGCTGATTCATTCTTCCCCTCTGCAGTGCCTGATGGAGGACATGAGCAGGCTATTTCTGTGTGTGTGTGTGTGTGTGTGTGTGTGTGTGTGTGTGTGTGTGTGTGTGTGTGTGTGTGTGTGTGTGTGTGTGCACTTGTCTTTATGGGTTTGTGTGGACCAACTCCTGACGGGAGACCAACATTGTGTGGACATTCACCATTGTGTGGACATTTCCCGGTCCACACAACCAAAATCCTAGAGGAAGCTTCCTTTGTCCCACCTAGAGTTAAACATAATTTTTGCACCATTCTGGCTATAGTGGAAGTCAGGGTCCACACAAACAACTCAGAAAACGTAGTCCACGCAAACCCATAAAAACACGTGTGTGTGTGTGTGTGTGTGTGTGTGTGTGTGTGTGTGTGTGTGTGTGTGTAGGCATAGCTCATCTCTTTCACCAGTAGGGTAGTTTAACCTTGCCTCTGTTTTTGTCTCATCTCCTGAGTCCTCCTGTCCTGATTTGCCCTTCATGTCTCACTAGATGTCTTCCCAAAGCGACGTTGGGTTTCGGACTGAAAACACGTTACTGTATCCTCATGGGAGGTTCATAGCTAGGCTCATTAAAATAAGAATATTAAAAATTGGTGAGGTTGATCTAATGATTCTCAGCTGCAGAATCTGATGCGATGTCGATAATGTGTGTCGAAGTGCTTATCCAGATTTACCGACAATGGTCTCAAACCTGCCAGAACGAAGAGTAATCACTAGTACTGTGATGTTTACCAGTGTGATTTACTGCTCTGGGTGTTTCAGCAGTGAAGCCAAAATGTTCCAGACGCTCTATTTGTTTATCCTGCAAAGCAGGAGAACGTCTTCATCTGATGTTCGCGGAAAGAAACTGGTCAGAAAACGAAACTTCTTCATTCAGTGGCATCAAGAGAAACAGTCGAGTCAGACTGAAGATAAAAAATGGTGAACTTTGTCTTCCCTGTGGAACGGAAACTGGAATCGTTCAAGTTCGTTGTGTCTGAAATCCTTCTGAGCTCAATGAAAGCTGAAAATGTCTCTTGAAGCAACAATAAATCATGTCAGGTCCTGAAGTTTGAATTATAGTTTCTGATCTTTGCTCTGACATGCAGAAGGAGCCTGAGCAAAACCTCATTATCTTTTCCCTTCAGTCAGTCCATCCAGCACTTGCTGAATTTCTGCCCCTTCTGAGGTTTCTAGCACCTTCCTGCTGAAAGCTTCCTGCAGTATCTCACCATCAGGAGGATGCTGAGAGGATTTCATAAACAGAACCAGGCGCTGATGTTGAGTTGAGATCACAAGATGTCACTGTTAGGCAATGTAACATTCACACTCGATTTATGTAAAGAATGAAATAAAACTAGAAAAACAAGTGAAAGTAGAAATAAAAACGATGTTAAGAGTGTTGGGTGAGTCATCAGAAATTGGTAAATATATTTCACGTGTTGTAAACAGCAACCCTCGGACCCTCGTCTGCTGTTTGTTACACTGAGCTCTGCTCTGCTTATTCACCTGTAATAACTTCCTCCACTGTTTAAGGGACAAAGTGGCAACCATGATGGCTGTGATCATGTCTCCAGTTCCATCTATTTGGTTCACCTTCAGCTCTCTTTACGGCCTTGCAGCCAGTGTCTGCTAGAAGGTGATTAGTTTGAACCATACAGGGTGTGTCTTTTGGAATCGTAGGAAGGTCCTGCCTTCCTTGCCTCTGATACGCTCGAAGGGCTCTCCTATGATCGGCTATTTCATGTAACAGCAAGCCATCTTCCCTCGCTGCAGGGGTTTTATGTCTGCAGCCAGATCTTGTGGAGTTTTGTGAAGAAAACAAGAACTCATCGCTATAATAACCATTATGTCCTGTTTCCAACAAACCAGTTTCAGTTTCTTTCACAAAAGAACCTGAAAAATGTCAAATGTGTACTTGTAATAAATCTTGTTGCATTTATCGAACTGTTAGACTGACTTTATGTCTGCTGGCTCTCAAGTATTGGGGCTGTCTTATTACTAGGCTATCTTATGTTTTCACATTAAGAGGATCAGGATGTTTCCTAGTTAGGACACATCTCTCGTCATGTGTTGAAATGTGAATCATTTAATCTAAATTAAATTCAAAGCTGGTTATGATCTAGACCTATTTTTACCAGAGTTTATTATTCTAGAAGAGAAACAGAACTGCTGCCCACAGCTGGGCAGGATAGGGCAGTTTTAATGTATTTCATCATACGTGATTCAGATGTAAGGCACACACGTTTATGTACTCTGCTTTGATAAGATAACCTCGGTGCTTGAGAGCCAACAAGTCCAACAGTGTGATAAATGCAACAAGATTTATTATAAGTTCACATTTTATGTTTTTCATGTTTTTGATAAAAAAGTCAGGAATAATAACAAGGACAGAACGGTTATTATGGAGCTACATTTACACTTTCTCCTCAAAACAGCTGTTCTGTTGGCGACAGGAAGACAGTCTGCACTTAGCAAGGGAAGGGAGGAGGTTTGCTGCTAAACGAAATAGCCACTCGTAGAAGAGCCCTTCTAGCCAATCAGAGGCGAGAAAGGTGGGATTTCCTCAGGACATCCAACTATTCCAAATGATGCCTATGATGCTGAGAGATGATTTTCTGGTGTGCGTTCTCATGTGCTATGGATTGTGAACAACAGTTTGGTGTCAGGAGTGGTTATCCAGCATGTTTTGGTTGTTTCCCTGCTCCAACACAGTTGATTCACCTGCTCAGCAGCTCTTCGGGCACTGGAGAAACGTGTCAATCACCTGCTGATTAAACCAGGTGTGTTGAAGCAGGAAACAACATTCTCTTAACTCTGCACAGGTTGTAGAGCTGGTACATTGTTCCAGGGCCAGGACAAAAACCTCATTGTTACTCTTGAGTCCAACTTTTGACCATCTGGCAAACCCACCTCCAGACCCTTTCCAGGGAAGCTTAGGTGTGTGATCCCCCTCTGGTAGAACACACTCTGCAGTCACCGTTTTTAAGGGGAACACCATCCTGGTCTGCCAATCTGGTGGAACTACCATCAATGTCCCATGATATTGCAGAATTGTGTCAACCAACACAACACCACAACATCCAGACCCTTGAGGAACTCTGGAAGAATCTCATCCAACCTATTAGAGAGCCTGACATTTAGTCCCCAGACTTTGCTTCCTTAGTGGAATACGTGCTAGTGGGATTGAGGAGGTCTTTCTGTTCCATCGACCCAAGATGTCTCAAGTCAAGGTCAGCAGCACACTATTCACACCATAGACTGTGTTGATTGTGCGCTACTTCACCTGTTGAAACATGGGATGGTGAACAAGAATCACATCTATCTATCTATCTATCTATCTATCTATCTATCTATCTATCTATCTATCTATCTATCTATCTATCTATCTATCTATCTATCTATCTATCTATCTATCTATCATCTATCTATCTATCTATCTATCTATCTATCTATCTATCTATCTATCTATCTATCTATCTATCTATCTATCTATCTATCTATCTATCTATCTATCTATCTATCTATCTATCTATCTATCTATCTATCTATCTATCTATCTATCTATCTATCTATCATCTGTCATGTTCTGTGTCCCTATCTATCATCTGTCATGTTCTGTGTCCCTCTGTTCCCCAGCCCCTCCAGTTCCCACTCTAGGTTCTCCTTTTGTGTTCTCATGGCGCCCTCATGTGTCCTTTGTCTGCATCTTTCCCCATGTGTCTCCTAATGTTTCTCCATCCCTCTCTGGATTCCCTTTTGTGTTCTCTTAGCGCCCTCATGTGTCCTTTGTCTGCATCTCTGTTGTGTGTCTTACAGTTTTTCTCAATTGGTTTGGCTCATTTCCTGAAACCGAGATGACATTCACAAAATAACATGGACAAATCTCCAAACCACCTTGCAATTGTTCACAACAGAATGTCAGTTTTCATTGGTTTAATCAAATTGCAAATGCTTTAGTACATGTCTCAAGTGACTCTGTGCTTCTTTTCAAATGATTATGTACAAGTAGCTACAGTTAGCACAATGAGCCCACATTTAGCACATTTCCCAAATAAATAGATCTTGCCGATCTAAACTGATTAGTTGATTTGTCAGTGAAATGGTCACTCACTCCACAACATATCAGCATGGTTTCATTGTGTAAGTCATCATATGCACAATTGTCTGTTCAACTGTCAAAATTAATCAAAGATATAATACCATGAAAGAATATCTTGGAACATTTGATAAAGTTATGATAGTACTTGACAATCAATCAGGTGAAATTAGAACTAACGAAGGAGCAGCCTCCCACATCTCAGATGACCAATCAAACAGGTTGTTCAGATACCTGACAGGTGTTGTCTATGATCATGACTGCTGCCAAAAGTTTATAGACAGAGCTTGGCCCGGGGCCAGTTTCATTTGCAGAGTGAACATGGAAGCACCTCGCCAAGTACAACAGCAACTTCCTGCTCGAGGAAGAGGAGGAAGAAGAAGAGGAAGAGGAGGAGTGAGAATGCGTGGAGGAATAGGGGGAAGAGGCTGAGGAGCACGGAGGCACCATGATGTCCCAGATGAAATCCGGGCCACCCTTATTGACCACATTATAAACCATAGCCTCACAATGGCAGAGGCAGGTCGCCGAGTGCAGCCTAATGTGGCTCGGTCTACAGTCTCCTCCATCATCCAAACCTTTCGCAGGGAAAACAGGTACAGAACTATGCTATTGAACTATTCAGTGTTGGTGTGTGTGTAGGCCTAGTGTACTGTAATATTGCCATGTGATGTTATACGATACTATAAAAATGACAAAGACAGAAAAATGGAGAAAATACTGTGAATAGTATTCCAGTCACTGTGCAGTGCATCACACTTCTAGTACCATAGGACAGCAGTACAATTACAGTGGTAACTCATTTTGTAACAAATTTACAGTGTTGACCTTTGACTTGTATGTCTAGGATTGGACGACAGCGTCATGTGGGTGGCAGAAGAAAACTTCTAAATGAACAACAAGAATGGGAAATATGCAACATGGTCATTGCAAATAATGCCATCACACTGAGACAGATTGGTAATGCAATCCTGCTAGACAATGTAATGTTCCAAAATATGAACTCTATCAGCATCTCTACAATAGACCGGGTATTGAAGAAACATCAGATGACCATGAAACAGATTTACAGGATATCATTTGAGAGAAACTCTGACAGAGTGAAAGGGCTGCGGTACCAGTATGTGCATGTAAGTCAACTACTGGTTGTCTATCATTGTAACACTATTGCAGTAAGACATGGTTCCCACTGTTTTCTTGTTTTGCGGTATCCTTTTCACCTACAGAATGCAGCTTTGTGTGACTAGAGCATTTTGCCTAGAAATTGTCGTCAGTTTCCCACTCCCTGTTTGTACAGTAATTTAGATCCTCCCTGCAGTATCTGTCTCTACTTGACTGATTAGATTTATTTCTATTCTATTGTAGAGAATAATGGCATTAGAAGGCAACGACACCCCTCACATCCTAGTGTTCGTTGATGAAGCTGGCTTCAACCTGGCCAAAGGTCGAAGGCGTGGCCGTAACATTATTGGCCACCGAGCCACTGTGGATGTCCCAGGCCAGCGAGGGGCAAATATAACAATATGTGCCGCTATATCAGAAAGAGGTGTGGCCACACACATTCCCAGTTTAGGGCCCTACAATACACAAAAGCTCCTCAATTTTTTGGACCACCTTTATACTGATCTGATCCCAGAAAATGAGAGGTGTAGAAGGACCTCAGCTACCACAATATGTCATTGTGTGGGATAATGTGAACTTCCACTGCAGCCCACGCATCAGAACCTGGTTCACCACCCATCCATGGATGCTAAAGGAGTTTCTTCCACCTTACTCTCCTTTCCTAAATCCAACTGAGGAGTTTTTTTCAGCTTGGAGGTGGAGGGTGTATGAGCATCAGGCTCAAGACCAGAGGGCCCTGCTGCATGCAATGGATGCTGCATGTGAGGACATCACAGGGGATCAATGTAGGGGATGGTTGAGACATTCACGCCGTTTCTTCCCTCGCTGCATCGCATGAGAACATATCTGTCGCGATGTGGATGAGAATTTATGGCCTGACAGAGAGCAGCGCGTCGATGGCCAGGAGGATGATGGTGGCCAGGAAAGAGAGGGTGACGATGGCGACCACTGAAAATATTACTGTACTATAGTTCTGAAACCTTATTTACAGTATGGTAGGCTAGAGTTGTTTTTGTTTTTTGTTTGTGTTTATAACTGTTCACATTTACAGAATCCTGTATGTTTTCTTTTCACAGTATGTTCTCTAATGTTAACATTTCTTTGTACGAATGAAAATGTTTACAGTTTCGTTGAGTATGAGTGGTTAATTGGAGGCCGATTTTACTGTGAAATCTATTGGTTTTATTCATAGTGGTATTCTGTTGCTAGACCTGTGCCTCAGTGACACAACGTCTGAGCATTTTGACTTGCAGTGCTTAAACGATGCCAAAGGTATAATGCATTTTGGGGGCATTGACTATTTATATGGGAAGGATATTTAGTTTTGACACATGGATAAACTCTTTTGGGAGAGATATGAGCTTTTGCAGGGGATCCATGGTGTTGTGCTAAGCCATCCAGGTTATTTTGACAAAAGCACTGAATGAATGCACATGTGCCAAGGCAACTGAGAAGGATCTGTGCTATTTTGACTGTACTGACTTTTTATATGGGAAAGGAATCTGCTTTTGAAGCATGGACGAAGAGTTTGGGGAAAGATATTTGATTTTGCTAGTGAGCTATAATGTTGGGCAGCACTGTCAGACTGTTTGGCCAAATGACCTTATGGTTTTGAGAATGTCATCTTGGTTTCAGGAATAGAGCCAAACCAATCGAGAAAAACTGTAAGTTATAGCCACAGCCTCTTGTTCCCCAGTTCATAGTTTGTGTGTGTCAGTATGTGTATGTGTTTGTGTGAGTTCTTCCCTTAGTCTTTAGGTTTAGTTGTGTGTTATATAGTGTTAGGTTTATCTGCCCTCCTCTGGTTCTCTTCCCCATCCAGTTAATTGTTGTCACCTGCCTTCCCTCCAGCCTCACTCCACACACCTGCTTCCTGTTTCCCTAATTGCTCCTCCCTGTCTATATAAGCCCTCCTTGTCTCATTGTTCTTGTCGGTTCATTGTTTTATGTCAGCGTTGTTTTTGTCTCTCCCTCCTGGTCTCTGGTTCTCTGCTCATGAAGTGAGCTTTTGGATTTTGGCTCCCCACCCCATTGGATTTACTTGGTTTTTGGTTCACCTTAAAATAAAGGATTTTACTTTACATCATCTCCTGCCTCGTGTCATCCTGGGTTTCTGCAATTTGGGTCCTTCCCTCCTAAACGTATCTATCTATCTATCTATCTATCTATCTATCTATCTATCTATCTATCTATCTATCTATCTATCTATCTATCTATCTATCTATCTATCTATCTATCTATCTATCTATCTATCTATCTATCTATCTATCTATCTATCTATCTATCTATCTATCTATCTATCTATCTATCTATCTATCTATCTATCTATCTATCTATCTATCTATCTATCTATCTATCTATCTATCTATCTATCTATCTATCTATCTATCTATCTATCTATCTATCTATCTATCTATCTATCTATCTATCTATCTATCTATCTATCTATCTATCTATCTATCTATCTATCTATCTATCTATCTATCTATCTATCTATCTATCTATCTATCTATCTATCTATCTATCTATCTGCCCCCATATAATAAAACCCAAAATAAATGAAAGAAATAATTTTTATTATTCTAATCATCATTATTATTAAAATTATTATTATTGGAATGGGGGCCCAGTGCCCTTGGCAGCTTTATCGTGTATCTCCGTCGCTGTAAACAGCTCATTAAGAGCCTCATTTTGCTGCTCTGCTCTCAGACAGCCTTTGTGGGTCGGTCGGACTCGGAGGGGGTGGTGGTGGAGGGGGGTTAGTCTATCCGCCCACGCCTTAAGCCGCTTTATCCCCACCGATCTGAGTCGAGCTTCACACTGCTGCAGCTCCGACTGGGTCAGACAAAGTTGGAGACATTTTACTCGGAGCGAGTGTGTGAGAACCAGGACAGATGACCGGACTGTGGTGCTGAAGCTGAGCCTTTCAATCGGACTGGACAGCAGGAGGCGATAAACAAGTTCATACTGAGAATAAACTACCGCAAGAAGCTGGCAGCGGCGGTTCGGACATGGACCAGACTGGACTTTGGATGTTCTTGATAACAACTTGTGTTTTTTCAGGTGAGTCTCTAGTTTCATACCGCAAATACCTGAGTGATGAACAAATGGGGAGTAAAGTAACATGTAAAGAAATTACAAATAAAATAATCACACACACAAAAAGACAGGATTTGTATTCACAGAAAGCAATCTGTTTTTGTTTGTGTTATAGAGGCTTTTATTTTGAAGAAATCAGGGGTAATTTTGTTATTTACACTAGAAAGCCTTAAAAAAGGAAATTATTCAGAACCATTATCATTATCTTTCTTTCATTGATGTGCAGGAAATGAGTAAAAATCTAAATATATATGTAAGTTTGTACTTAAATGTACATTTCAGCTTAAGATCAGCTCTTCAGTATGCAACACTGATTTGTTTGTTTGAAGCATCAGTTTAGTGTAAAATTAATGCAAATGTAAAATGTCAGTAGGTATTTTCCTCAGTTTCTCTCCACTGTGGTGAAGTTTGCAGACTTAAATAGAGAAAGTACAAAAATGAAAGTCTTCTCAGCAACATATTGGTTTTTTATAACGTCATTTCTACCGTAACAATAGCATCAAATCCACTGAAATGTTTCCAGCTGATGCTGACATGTAGATGAACATCACTGCTGTGTTGCCCATGGCTTCCTCTCACGTTTGCACCTGTGTGAACTGGTTCATGCATGAAACTAGAACCTCCTGGCCATCCTAAGGTTTGAAGTTTTGAACGTCTGCTGCAGCTATAGCCACATAACTCAAACACACTGGTGCCAATAAGTGTGCTGTTGTAGAAATAATAAAACAGTGTTTGCCAATTATGGTTTAGCTAAATGATGGAGGACATGAGCAGGCTATTTCTGTGTGTGTGTGTGTAAAAGGTAAATGGCCTGTATTTGATATAGCGCCTTCTAGAGTCCTAGAACCCCCCAAGGCGCTTTACAACACAATCAGTCATTCACCCATTCACACACATTCACACACTGGTGAGGATGAGCTACAATGTAGCCACAGCTGCCCTGGGGCGCACTGACAGAGGCGAGGCTGCCGAGCACTAGCGCCACCGGTCCCTCTGACCACCACCAGCAGGCAACGTGGGTTAAGTGTCTTGCCCAAGGGCACAACGACAGCGACAGACTGAGCAGGGCTCGAACCTGCAACCTTCCGATTGCAAGGCGAGCACTTAACTCCTGTGCCACCGTCACCCCTAATGTGTGGCGTGTGTGTGTTAACTCTTTCCTCACTGTAACTGTGCCGTTATCAGATGACATCTGCTGTGATAGTTTTTTTTCCTGTTTCCTGCTCTGACAGTAATAAAGCCCCTCTCTGTGAGCTGAGCAGTAATTTGCTGGCGTGTGTACATGTGTGTTATTAGTGAGTGTGAGGTTGTTCCATGTGATTGTCATGCTGAAGGACAGAGCTTTGGATTAGAGGAGCTGCACGGAGAGCAGAAGGGTGAAACAACACGAGTGCTGCCAAGCCTCCGCTGCCGCTGCGGTGTTTGTCTCCTCCTCCAGGTTGATGCAGATGCAGAACACCTCCACATGTCTGGTGGTGGGGAACCAGGCAGATGTGGCGCTGTCACAGGCAGTGGCTGATTTATTCTTCCTCCTCCACAAAAGTTTGAAATCTCCTACAGGGAGAAACAGAAAAAGGTTCCATGAGACCAGCCAACATCATGAATATCTACATAATCCACTCCGCAGCTGGAACACACAGACACTCCTCTAGAAATAATCCGGCATGGACACACTCCTTCTGTCCTCTGCCTTTTAATTCCATCTCTTTTCTTTACCGTCTTTAAAGTTCACAAACATCTTCCACCTCCTTGTTCCTTCCATCAGATGATATTCGTTCACATGTGCTTTCTTCATATCTCTCCTCTCCCTCTTGGTATTTGCATTCTCATTTCCCTTCTCGGCCACAGATGCAGCAGTCAACATAATCCTGTGAGCTGCCTGCTGAACTCTGGCCAAGCACATCCTCTCCACGTTTCTGCACTGCCACAGAGATTACACACAAACACACGCGGGAAAACACGAGGGTGGACGCTGATCCCAATCACAAACAAGAAGAGATTATAATCAATTTTGAGGAAAATGAAAATCAGATGATCCATTCTAGTCATGGAACGTTGATAGTTTTTGAAGAAGTAGATGCCCTAAAATCAGCTTCTGCTCTTTTGTAGTACTGTTGTTTAGGAGCTGCCAAGTGGAAAATCATGAAATACTGCAGCCAGTTTTACTGGACCAATGAGAAGACACACACAGGATGAGTAATCCTAGATCAATCACAGATTTTATGACCAGCAGATTAAAGAGTTAATCTCAGCGTATTTCATCCATCACTGAGGCTGAAGCTGAATAAACCTGTTTACTTCAGTCATCGTTAGTAAGCGCAGAACTCCAGATGCCAGACTAAACCGTTGAAACAGAAAAAACCCAAGGCAGTTTAGTCCATTTTGGTGCCACTTTCATGCTGAATTATTTAAAACTTCACTAAACAATAAGACAGTTTCTAAAGGCATATTCAGCTTTGTTATCTTCTAGTAATTACTTACATGATGTCCTAATACTGTAGAAACATAAATCAGGGGTAAATGTGGCATTAGCTTGTGTGCTAGGTGCTATTTGCTATTAAAAACAGCTAAAACAGCCTTAAGAAAATGTTATTTTCCCGCATTATGGTTTTATGATGTTTTTCTGCCTTATCTGCTATAATGTCCACACGCTGTAGTAAAAAAATTAAACCAGAATGGGAAACAAAAGTAGAACTATAGGGAGCCTAAGTCTCCTCCATTTCCGGTCGGCTCATGGGTCACGGGAAGAACGAGAAAATTAATCCAAGTCAACGGGGCTAAAAGAGCTATTTTCTAATACACTTAGCCTTAGAACCTGGATCGCACATATGTTGTACTTCAGTTTAAATTAAAGTAATGATGTGTTTCAACCACACCAGCCACTACTTTGAAATTTATCAGTCTGTAAAAGTTTGTAATATCCAATGACTGCAGATCAGACGTCAGTACGTGTTAGCTGCTACATGCTATAAAACCATTAGCAACAACATGTTCAAAATAAAGTTATTAAGGTGATATTTCCAGCTGATCTAACGATTTAGAAGCTGCTTTATGAGCTGTTTGGGGCAGTAGTCTTATTGCTTTAGTTAATTTATAAAATGATTTATTATTTAGTGAATAATAGTAAAGAATCCATTTCTTTCTATGTAAATCACATTTGGATGTAATACAAACACTTTTCTTTTATCCAGGTTTAATATAAAGACTAAAGATGATCTAACTACAGAGAAAAACGTTTCCTTGTAGAATATTTCTAATAGCATATAGTGACACCTGCCAGTGCTTCTGTTTCATTCATACAATGTTAAATTAGGATGTGACATAATGGTGAAGACAGGTGGAGGATATCCCTGCAGGACGTTGACCAACAACACATTCGTCATGCTGTGCTGCTCTGACGGTTTCTAAATGTTGACCATTCAGATGTGAAACAGGTCTGCCATTGTTGTGTTCCATTCCCATGCTTGTCTCTCGGCCGTGTGCCCCTGTTTATGCTTTATTGTCATGCTGAGGTCATTTCCCATGCTCTGAACAATGGAAGAATGTGAGTGGAGAAAATGAGTGAGATGGTGGCATTTTCTGTGTATTTCACAAAGATCTGCTCTGACCTCACAAGTTCTAATTTAAGGTTAGATTTAGTGGCAACAATGATTTTGTCAGTATTACAGCATACTTATGATGTCTGGTTTATGTATTAAAGTTTGTCAGAAGATTTAGGGACTGCTGACAGGAACAGTTCTCTTGGTTCTGTGGATCAGCTGGATCTCCTGCCAATCAGGAGGTTGGTGGTTTGATCCTGGCTTCCCCTTCACTTGTAGAAGTTCTTGAGCAAAACACTAAACCCCATGTAGCTCTCCTTGTGTGTGAATTGGTTGTGTTAATAGATACATTCAGCCTGTTGAGTGATCAGTAAAACTAGAAAAGTGCACGAGTTTTAAACTCACGGCATTTGGCAGGTTTTAATAATCACGTTGTATTCTGCTGGATAATCACAAAAGAAACATAGTTATCTATATTTAAAAACATTTTATGCAGAATAAAGCCTAGTTTATGCTTCTCTGTCAGCAAGTTTGCACTCACATGCACATGTATTGACATTTTCCTTTTTTTCTTCTCCTTTCATGTGTTAGTGTTAGCTGGCCAATCAGGCCCACAGGTGAGCATGTATGGACAGCTCAGCATGAAACAGACTGCAGGGAAGCAGTGCCAAAAAAAACTGCCAGCTCAGCACAAACAACGCCAATGTACACCGAATTATCCTACCATGGCCAGACCAAGCTGACTCAAGTGTAAATGCCCTATATGTGTGAGTGAATGAGCAAGGTTGAATGCCTCTGTTTGCCCCTGTGATGGACCGTAGACTAGTCTGTGGTGGTCTTCACCTCTAGCCCAATGGCTGCTGGAGATAGAGGCCAGCTCCCCTTGATCCTAGTGAGCATGACGCAAAGGAAATGGTGTTAAAGACACATGAGCTGCAGTATGACATGTTGGTGTGGAGACTGACAAAGCATAAAGCAACCCCCCCCCCCCCCCCCAATAAAATAAAAATAATCACAATTTACAACTAATCTTATCGTACACACACACACACACACACACACACACACATATATATATATATATATTGAGACTGGGGATTTAATTATGACCAATAAGTTGTGATGATTCTGTATAAATATAGAATGTCAAGCTGATTGATCTTTGAATGTTTAACCAGAAGAATTTAGGATTCTTTGCTTATTCAGGGACCATAAACACACTTCGTATTAATTCAGACAGAGTCAAGTATATAATAAAAAAAAACTTTATTTTCTAAACTAATTATAATACATGACAAGCTATGAATAATGATATGTGATGGAGCGTAAGTGTAGTGATGGAATGTGATGTGTGGTAATGGTGTAAAGTAGATGTATATCGGAACCTTTGTATCTGAAAGAGATTGTGAATTCTGGGTGTAAAAT